ATACAAACATTGAGTTATTTTATGTATCTTAGTTGCTCTCAACTCAGAATGACCTTGAAACCATCCAGGTGCTGGGGGGGGGGCGTAGAGAGGGGGCACATGGGATGTTTGTTCTCAGCCTGTGCGCCAGGAGGTCCATGGGAGACACTGACTTACTCTCTCCCTGGTGCACCCACAGCTTGCACCACTTACCAGCAAGGCTGGCTCGTTGCTTTCTTGATTGGTCCCCCAAGTTGCAGCATGGCTGATTCTCGGGAGACGCTGACTTATTCTCTCCCTGGCACACCCGTGCCTTGTGCTGAAAACAGCACTAGGGTTAAGGGGATGAGTGATGCTTACCCTAAGTGGCCTGGATAAGATATAACAGATGCAAACAGCTGTGGTCATCCCTTGTTGCTTTGCTACCTTCTGCCCACCATGAACTATTTCTCTCTGTCATACCTTGCTTTCAGGACACCCTGCCTTGGAGCCACCCAATCATGAACTCAAACCTCTACAAACTGTGAGTTAAATAAACCTTTCCTCCTTTAACTTTTGGGTGTTGGGCATTTTGTAAAGGACTTGCCTTGGAAAGAAGTCTGGATTCTTCTTCATACCCTGTGCTCCCCCTGCTCTTCAGCCCAGGCGGGGTGACAATCCCACTAACCTAATAACCAGGTAACCATAACTGAGAGGGCTCTGAGTGACAACGAGAAAATGCCAGGCTGCCAGGTGTGGCGACACACACCTATAATCCCAGCACTCAGGAGGCTGAGGCAGGATCGCTGTGAGTTCAAAGCCACCACTGGGCTATGTAATATATTCAAAGCCAGTCTAAACTACATAGTGAGACATTGTCTCTGAGAAACTAAACAAACAAAAAAAACATAAATAAATTTAACTTAAAACAGTAACACTTCACGTGGCTCAACCAAGAGTAAACCAGACCCCTGTGGATGGGTGTAATGAGCACCACTGCTTGCCAAGCCTTGCTAGGGCATGTCTACCGTGGGAAGAGCAGTCACGTCAACTCTTCCCTGAAGGAAGCTCTCTCATGGGCCTGTTCTTCTTGCTGTCCACACCCCCAGCAAGGTCCTTTATGCTAGAGATGAGTTAAGAGGACTGGGGTTGCTGGAGAAGGTTACATTCTTTGTTACATATGGCAGAGTTCACAGGTGTTCAGAAACCAACAAGGAAGTATTTTCTGAGAGTCCATGATTTGTATATTCCTATTAATGTAGAAAATCAGGGATTAATGGTGATACTTTTTATTTTACAACACTAGTCAAACGCTTATGTGATGCAGGCTGTATATCCAAACTATTCATACCTTTACTTTTTGGTTCTGTTTTGTTTTTTGAGACAGTTTTATGCACAGCCCAGCCTGGCCTTGAACTCACTATGTAGCCCCAGGCTAGCCTCAAACTCAGTGACCCTTCTTCCTCAACATCCCAAATGCTAGGATTGCAGGTGTGCACTACCATGCTCAGCTTTTTTGTGTGGGGGGGTGCTGGGTATTTAATCTAAGTCTTTACACTGACCTACATCCCTAGCTTTTTTCTATTTTTTATTGTGAGACATAGTCTTCCTAAGTCATTAAACTGACCAGGCTGGGCTTAAACTTGTGGTTCTCCTGCCTCAGCCTCCCAGAGTCCTAGGATTACAGGCATAGACCACCATACCCAGGTCACTCTCAAGAGTTTTAATGTGCTATAATTGTACGTCTACTTGTGTGTCTGCTCCTGGCTACTAGTTTATTGTAGAATCAACTATATAAAGATAAGATCTATATTTACTTTTTTTCCCTTGTGATACTGGGCCTTGGCCATGTTAGACAAGCATTCTACCACCAAATCATACCTCTGATCTGATTCCCTTATCCCTAATTCCTAACATAGGGCAAGGAATATAGTAGGTGCTCATTAAGTAAATGTTTTATATGAATGAATGAATGAATGAATGAATGAATGTGATAGAACAATATACAAATTTGGTAATTCCAGGAAGACATCAAATATCATGTCAAATGAAATGTCTGTGGGCCTCTGAGGTTTGAGAAACCACACTGACAGCAGAGAAGTCAGGAAAGTACCCCACACTCACCCCTGAAGGTAACCTGTAAATAGTTGCTACCCAGCTGAAAACAGTGCAGGTCAGATGGTGACACAGGTGGCCTCAAAGATGTAGGGAAGGAAGCTACGAATGAAAAGGAGAACTCTACCCTTCCATTTCCGGGTGCACTCTCTGGCCAACAGGAGCCGCATTCCTTTGAGCTGAGCATGAGTGTAATTTCCAGCCTAGGTAGCAGAGTGGAATTTGGAACAAATAGCTCAGCAGAAAAAGATCCAGGGACAAAGGGGCAGGGCCCAGCTGGCCTTGGCCAGCACTTCAGCTCACAGGATGTTGGAGCTCAGTAGGGTTTGTCGAGGGAAATAACTGACGTCCACTGAATTGTACCACTCTAGAGGACCCAGAGAGAAATCTTCACATCTGGATGGCATTAGGTCTTTTGAAGACCTGGACACTAGCCAAGTACTTGTTACCACTCATCTTTTCCACCCAGAAGGAAAAGCGAAGCTGTGTTTAGGGTTAGGGATGGCGAAGGTCCAAACACACTCAAGAGGCAGAGAGGAAGATACTTTCATTCACAGAGCTGGATGGTACTTCGCTTTGGAGGTTTAAGGAGGAGGAGGGGGTGGTGATGGCAGGACTCTAGGTGCTGTGAAACAATTTGAGAAGGATAGCAGGGGAAATTTAAAGAGGTCCAATTAGAGCCAGGTGTGGTGGACATGTCTGTAATCCCAGCACTCCAAGAGGCTGAGGCAGGAGGATTTAAGCTTAGCTAGGGAAACTTACTGAGAGCCTGTCTCAAAAATTTAAAAATGGGCTGAGGATATAATTTAACAACAACAAAAAAGAGGCTGTTAGTTCCAGAGAAAGGGAACCAAAGAAGAAAGGCTCCTTCACAGAAGAGGACCAAGTATTGGGAGCATACCTTCAATCACACGGGAAAATGTCATGGGAGCCAAGGATGCTGGTGCATGCCTGCAATCCCAGCACTCTGGAAGGATCCTAAATCTGGGTCCAACCGAGGTAATTCAGCAAATGAACAAGACCTTGTCTCAAAATAAAACATGAAAAAGGAAAAGGGCAAGGGAAGGAGCTCAGTGCAAAGGCTCTGGGTTTAATCTCTAGCACCACAGGTGAAGGGGTTGCAGTGTTCCCCCTCACTGCCTCAACTGCTGCTCCCTCTCTGCGTGTTTTCAAGTTAATCATTTCTTCGAGACAATTGATGGGGACCTAAGAAAGGGAGGACTGCCTGCAGATTATTTGAACCTAGCTCTTCTATATGACAAAGGAATTGAAGGTGGGTATTACAAATCACTCAATTTTGAATAAGGCACATAGTCTTAAATACAGGTTAAAAAAAAGTGCTTCGGAAAAAAAAGGAAAGGAGGGAGGAATAAATGAAAGGGACAGAGGAAGGGACGAAGAATGAATGTAGAAGGAAGAGAAAATGGTTTTGATGAAAAAGGCTGAGTGGGGGTGGTGATGTTGCTGCTGGGTAATACTGATTTTGACCATAGCACAGGAAGATGTGTGTTGTCACAGGAGGACATCATCTAGGGACAATCCTAGGGGTCTGGGGTAGTTTATGTGTGGGGAATAGGGAAGATCATTGTTGGTGAAGGCCATATTTTTTATTTACTTCGCTGACATATTTAGACCATTCTTTAATAGCGGTGGCAGTGGCTGAAGGGAAGAACCTTTACTGGGGGACTGTAAAGACAAAGACAACTCATTCATTTACTGGCTGGGCTCTATCTACCCCATCAGGCTACTCACAAACCTCTGAGTCATTTCCTCAGGGTTTGTGACAGCTGGTTTCTGGCCTTAAAAGAGGAAATGGAACGTTGAAAGACCGCCTTTTTCATTCTTAAGGTCTCAAGGGTGAGCAAGTGGTAAAGCTAGAGGTTGCGTGGATATTTTGGCTCCCAGTTCTGTGACATGAAATTCTTTTCTTGGGGACAAGCGTGAAGAACAAAATGTAGCGAAGGTCTAGACTCAAGTCAGGGCAGGAGGAACTCGAAGTATACTTGAAAAGATACTCCACGACACATGCACTGCACATTTAAGCATTGTCCAGCAGCTAACTGCTGCGCCCTGCCCCCTAACCCTAACAACCACTGTACCGTTTTGCAAACAAGTTGGAGGGTAAGATTTTTTTTTTTTTTTTTTTTTGTCTTTTCGTTTTTACCGGTACCAGGGACTGACTAGGGATTGAACTCACGACTGCCTGCTTGCAAGACAGGCGCTTATGCCGCTGAGCTAAATCCCCAGATCTTTTTAACTTGATCTTAGCAGATCTATCTAGTGGACGGTGGAGTTCAACGTCGATACTCTCTAAAGATCTTTTAATAAGTGGAAATTGAACTTCTAGCCCACTGCTCCTCTCGCTTTCATAAGTCATCCCGAACATATGAAAAGTAATGACTGACAGACCCGAGGTGAAAGCAGAGCGGGAAGGACAGTCTTTCACCCTGCTGGCTTAACACGGTGCGTTTCCATTCCGTGAAAGTTCGCCACAGTTGGCGCCCAGCGAGTAGACACACGTGCAACCTACACATGCGCCCAGAAAAAACACACCCGCTCCTCCAGGCGGGCTCATTTCAGCCAAGTCACCAACCAGCCCCCTAAATGCCCGCCCTCCAGGCAAATCCCTCGACCAATCGGGAGACCAGAGTCGTCATTACGTCACTTATTTTACATATAGCCGCTTCTCCCCGCCCCCCACCGGGCACGCCCAGTCGGAGCATGGATTGTCACCTAAGCGCTTCGTTTTGACATCTGATTGGCTCTTTGCTCTACCCCGCCTCCTTCTCCTCCCGTCGTCCTCCCCCTCGGCGCGCCTACAGCGACGGACGGAGCTAAGTGCGCAGGCGCATGCACCGCCCCTCTCGGCTGGAGGCCCGCCCTCCGTCCTCCCCCTGCCTGCCCCCATCCCTTTTCCCCACCCCCTCTCTCCACCTCTCTGGGCCTGCGCGCGCGTCTCCTTCTAGCACGCGCCGCCGCTAGCTGCGCACTCTTGCGGGAACCTCTGGCCCGCGCGTTCCTTTTCCTTTCCTGTGGGGCGGGCGGGACCCCGCACTGCTGTCACGGTAGCCCCGGCGGGCTCAGGCGGCGGCGCGCCAGTCCGAGGAAGGACCGTACCACTGCTCGGCAGCGTGCGGGGGGAGCCGCTTGCCCCGCCGTTCACGCCTCGGCGACCCCGCGGGGCTGAGGCGTCGCCGCCGCCGCACCCGGCAGCGTGAGCACAGGAGCGGCCTCGACCCCGAGCTCCGAGCCCTGCGGGCCGGGGGCCCCACCCATCCGGGCCGAGGAGGCCGTAGCCATGGCCGAGACGGAGGAGCGGAGCCTGGACAACTTCTTCGCCAAGAGGGACAAGAAGAAGAAGAAGGAACGGAGCAGCCGCGCGGCCAACGCCGCGGGCGGAGCGGCAGGGGCCAGGCCGAGCGACGGCGGGGGCACGGGGACCAGGGCAGGCGACGGCGGGGGCACGGGCACCAGACCAGGCGACGCCGGGACCGCGGGCGCGGGGACTGCCGGCCCCGGGGCCGCCACGAAGGCCGTGACGAAGGTGAGGGGCCGGTGCCGCGTGGGGTGCGCGCTCGGCCGCGTGTGCCCGTCCCTGCCTTGCTTCCTGGGAAGGCGCCGGCCGGGACCCGGGCGGGACGGCTGCTGCGGGCGGCCACGTGACGCGGCGGCCCACGTCGGCCGGGCTCGCCGGAACCGGACCCCTCGGAGCGCTCACTTGGGGCCACTGCGCCCGTCTCGGGGCGTTTGTGAGTGACGTCTCCTCCGAGTGATTGGCGCTCGACTGGAGTCTTAGTGGGACCTGAATTTGCTGTTAAGCGTGTTAAGTCGCCTTCGGGGCACCTATGTTGGCACGACTTGGTCCCTAAGCCGGCGAAAGAAAAAGTCGAGGAAACATAGAGCTGGAAATATAGTCATGGAGTTACTGTTGGTTTCTTTACTTGGTTTTTCCTAGTTGACTTGAAAGTAACAGCTCGCCTGTAGAAATCCGACCGCAGTTATGATTAGACGGCTGGGCATGTCCTCGGGATCGAGCGAGAGAGGACTTGGGCCTGAAAACGGCTCTGGATTTCTTTAAAAGTCCAGCCACATCCTTTCGATAGCTGCTTAGTTGCATGTTTGAAAATAGCCTTGATTGATCAGGTATTTCTTTGACAGGAAGAAGATGAGTGGAAAGAATTTGAGCAAAAAGAGGTTGACTACAGTGGACTCAGAGTGCAGGCCATGCAAATAAGGTATGATGTGAGTGCAAATGGGTTTAGATAATCTCACAACTTGGACACAAGATTGATTTTTCTTAAGTTGTAAAGCAGCATCGAAGTAGCCTTGTACTGAAGGAGTTTAAAAATTCAGTAGATTATAGCTCCATGAAGGTAGTTCTCTGTGCTCATTATGTTAATTCAAAAACTCTTGTGATAGTTTGCCTACCTCCAGTTCTGGTTAGGGATTTTTATTTAAGACACCTAAAATTCATCGTTTTTTTTTTTAAAAATATTTTGTAAGACATGATCTCACTGTGTAGCCCAGGCTGGCCTGGAATTTGAAATCCTCCTGCCTCAGCCTCCCAAGTACTGTGCCAGCTCATCTGGATGAATGTTTTATTTTTGACACTGATGATTGAATTCAGCTTATTTTTTTGTTTCAAAAATAATGCGGGTGTTTTTCAGATCCTTTCCAGCATTTTGTCTTACCATTGTGCAGTAAACAAGTTAACACATATCTTTATAATTGAAGTATAGGATACTTTCATAGAAGTACAGATTTTTACACAGTGAAACCAGCCTAACCCTTCCAGTTATTGTTGACCAAGATAAGCAGTATCCTAACAACAAAGTTTGATTTTTTTTTTTTTCTAGAACTATGTAGAGTAGAATTACATGGTCTAAGCTTACTTTCTCCTTCTCCCCTAGTACCAGAAATCAAACTCAGGACCTTGCATTTGCCAGGCAGGTGCTTATGCCACTGAGTTGTATCCCTGGCCCAAGTGTGCTATTTTTAAAAGCACAGTAATTTTTTAAAGTTGGTTAATTGAATTTAAAATTAAGGACATCAGATCCATGGTAGTCTGATTTATGTTAAATAAATGTCATGTTTTCAGGGGTTTGAAAAGTAGAAAAAAGTGGTGATTGTATGATTCCATTGCTTTAAGATTAGTTTTTTGGTTAGTATTTTTTTTAACCTCAAAGAAATAAAAGTGGTCTCAATTAACTGCCTCCGGTTTGTATGTAGTGCCAGTTACCAGCTGGCACATATTTTCTTAACTACAGATTCTTTTGATCTCTTAGGTGGTAATATTTATGGCCTTGTAACTTTTGTGGAAAAACCAGGGCTGACAGTTTCCATATTTGCTTACCACTTCCCTAGAGTGAGCAGTAAAGTCCTTAGGTGTTTTAGCGTCATTTTATGAGTTTTTGACTAAAGAAAAATCCACCTGGTGGGTAGTGGAAAACTTATAGAAAGTGTGTCTTTGCCATTTAGCTTTAAATTTTGTTTACTTTGGGCTGGGGATTTAGCTCAGTGGCATAAGCGCCTGCCTTGCAAGCAGGCAGTCGTGAGTTCAATTCCCGGTACCGGTAAAAATGAAAAAGACCAAAAAAAAAAAAAAATTTTTGTTTACTTTGCTGGGAACTGAACCCAGGGCCTCCCACTGAGCTGCTTTTTTTTTTTTTTTTTTTTTTTTTTTTTTTTTTTTTGAGACAAGGGCTCTCAAGGTTGCCCTGCCTAGCCTTGAACTTGACCTTCTGTGCCTCAGCTTCTAGAATGGGTAGGATGACAGCTGTGCCTCATTGTGCTTGGCTTCTCCATTCCGAAGGTTATTTGTTGTATTTGAGTAAAAGTGGTTACACTGGAGTTTAATTCATGGCCACATGTTGGCTTCCTTTGTGTTTTTAAACGTTTTTGAAAAAGTGTTGTTTGGAAAATAGCAGTCTGTTTTCTCTCTCCTGGGTGATTGACTTGTAAAAATGGAAGCAAAATGGAAGCGTGGGCTGTGAGGTTGTGAGGTTCCTGTCCTTTAGGGTTGTGGAACTACTTGTGTGTGTGGCTCCTAATCTGTGGTAGGGTTAGGTTCTTCTTGGTCTGCCTTTCCTTTTCTGATTTGAATTACGTGAATTGTTTTGGTTTGGTTTGGTTTTTTGGATTTGGTTTGGTTTTTGTTGGATTTGGACTTATTCAGTAGTGCTTTCTGAAGGGAAAAGGTTGTGGAGAATATTTATACTGAACTTTTTCTATCAGCAGATACAAATCTCATATTCAGAGTTATTGTAGTCTTTTAGCAATTGACTACTTTTTGCTTTTTGCTTTTGCCAGTGCTAGGATTAAATTTAGGGCCTCATTCAGGTCAGGCAAGCATTGTATCACTACAAAGCTGCTACATCCCTACCCCTAACTTAACAGTTTTTTGTTAGAGACAGGCTCAGTCTAGTCCTGAACTATTGGCTGCTTTTGAAGAACAAATATTTCTTAAATAATATTTTCACTAGACGAATAAGTAAATCTCAGTTAGTATGAGTGTTTTAAGTTCTGATTGATCTGATATATAACAGCTTATATTTTTTGTTTGTTTTCTACTGGGAATTTGAACCAGGGCCTCCCCATTGAACCACATCCCCAACCCTTTTACTGTTTTTGAGACAGGGTCATGCTAAGTTGCCTGGGAAGAGCTCAAACTCGATCCTCTTTGCCTCAGCCTCCCTCAGGCTAGGATTACAGGTGTCCGCCACCTTGCCAGCCTCTCATAGACGAACTTTTTTGTGTGTTTTTTCTTTGGGAGCATCTAGTCATTGCTGCTGAATGGCTGTCTCAAAGGTCTTTTGCTAACCTGCTAACATTGCAAAACACTCCTTTTTTCAGAAAGCTGCTTCTGTGAGTCAGAAACTGTGGAGTCTGGGGCTTGTGTTTTCATTGCCTTAAATCATTTAACAGAGGGGAATCTAGGTTCCAGGAAAAGCTTGAGGGTAGAAAATCATACAAGTTCTAATAATGATTACTAGAATTTTCACCTTGTGGTAGTATTTTGTATAAACTTTGTATTACATTCTTTGGCCCTGCGGTTGGGAGTGTAGCTTGGTGGTATAGTGCACTACCTTTTAGAGTGCTTGAGACCCGAGTTCTATTTTTACCACCACCACCACTCCACACACTGCCAGAAAAATTCCTAACAGTGAAATTCAGTAGGGAATATCAAGAAAAGAAATACTTGTTCCTAGGTAGAAGGCTCACATAAATGAGTTATGCAGCAAAAACATGGGCCTCTGGAGAAAGACAAACTTGGATTTGCATTTTGACCTCCACTGTCTCGAGCTTGTGTTACCTTGGGCAAGTAATTTTACTTCTGAACATTCCATCTACAAAACAGACTAGTCGGAATGTTAGGATTCTTTGAAAAGGATGTGTTTTAAATGTCCAGCACATAGAAGGCGCTTGGTTACTACTGACTGTCTTCTCTGTTGAGTAAGGAATTAGAATGACTTAACTCCTGGGAATTTCTGCTATATAACCATGAGTTAGTTACCTATTTTATAATACAAAGATTAGGGGAGGAATATTGGGAGCATATATAAGGTCATCATAACTAAAATCAGCTTTCTGAGGATACAGTAAGAGAAAAGGACTCGCTCAGTGACAAGACAGTATAATAATCCCTGGGTGTGGCTGGCCATGCCCAGCTGTTTGGGAAGTTGAGGCAGGAGGATCACAAATTTGAGGCTCACCTGAGCAACTTAGTGAGACACTCTCTTAAAATAATAAAGGACTAGAGGTGTAACACTGGTAGAACACTTGCATAGTATGCCCATGGCCCTGGATTCAAGCCCCATTTATGTTTTTTGAGATAGGCTTTTGTTTTGTTGTTCAGGCTGGCCGTGTACAAGCTATGTAGCCCAGGCTGGCCAGGAACTTGGTGCAGCCCTGTCCCAGCCTCTTTGAGTGTTGAGATTATAGACATATACTGTCACACCCAGTTCTCAAGAATAGTTAATGTCAAAATTAATCGATTTTATTAAAGATCAGGTCATTATAGACAAATTCTTGAGAGGAAAGCAGTTGATGGTAATAAGAGTCTGATACTTGAATTTAAATTATTAGTTAATTATAGAATCTGTAGGCCTCCTCCATCTAAATGGATTTGGGGGGAAATAATTAAGGATTGTTTCTTGGAGCCCAGTGTTTCGTTTTTTTTTTCTCCATATTGCTAATTCTTTTTTTCTCCCCTACTTCTCATTAGCACATGTTTGGTAATATACTGATTAGATTTACCATGGGGAGTTGGTATATGTACATTATAATTTTTTTGGTCAGCTCCCCTTCCTCCCTGTTCCAACTCTTCATTCCCTTCCCATTTGTAAAAGCTCCACTTTCATTTTGTTTTCCTTCTGCAGTTCTTTTTTCCCCCACCCCTTGTATCTTCCTGAAAGTTAGTTGTCATATTACAGGGATACATGCAGACCCATGTTCGTAGCAGTAGTATATCTCTGACATGAGAAACTAAAATATATAAAGAGTAAAAAAAAGGGTAAACAGGAAGTGTATGTTTTTCTATGGAGCAAATGGAACCCAGTGACTTCTTGGGACCTTCTTTAGAAATCTAGATCTTTAAATGCATTGAGTAGAGCTGCTCAGGAGAAAAAAACTACTCCTGAATACAGGCTAGATTTATTGTAGCAGTTTTGTTCTGTTTGCTATACTGAGGATTGAATCTATAGCCTACACACTGAGCCACCTCCATGTCCCTTTTTATTCTTTATTCTGAGACGGATCTTGCTATGTTGCCCAGGTCAGGCTCATACTTTCCATCATCATGCCTCAGCTTTCCTCAGTGCTAGGATTGAAGGACAATAGATAATCTCAAAGAAGTGTGCTGGGGTTGGAGGCACAGGAGAGACCCCAGTGTACCTGGGAAGGATGGGGAGTGTTTCTGGGTAAGTGTGGTGCATTTCAGTACTGAAGGCCTGGCACAGATGAGGCATGTTTATCTTCTTTTGTGTAGCAGTAGTTGGTACAATAGGGAAAAACGTTTGGAGTTGTTTTTTTTGTTTCAGCTACCTCCCCCTGGTGTTGGGGAAGGGAAATTATAGTTCATTGCAGAATTCTTCTGTCCATTGAGATAAAGATAAAAATGGGCTTTTTTGGAAACAAGATCTTGCTGTGTTGTCCAAGCTGGCATCAAACTTGGGGTCCTCCTACTGTAGCCTCCAAGGCTGCCAGGTTTAAGGGCTTCTGTCTCTGTGCCTGGCTTTTTTCTATCCTTCGTAAGTATACTGATTAACCTTAATAAGAGAAATTAATTTCTCCTCTCGTAGAGGGAAAATTCTGTGTTCTACCTTAGAGCTATGCAGAGGATAAAATGTAGTAAAAAGCAAAGTGAGGGAATGTGGGCCCTGATGTCCCTGTGATTTAGCTTAGTTATTTTGGACTGTAGGGAAGGGGCTTAACTGCCAGCTTTCCTCTATTCCGCTGGGTTTCTCCTGCCTTCATTTTGTTGTGACATGGCTGTGACAGTCCGGTGTAGTAGCTACTCAGTTAATGTTCCTCTCCTAGTGTTATTGTTTTCTGCTACCTAGCCAATAGTGCCTTAGAAATTTAAGCATAAGGCAGTATTCTGGCCATAAATGTGCATCATAGTATTTAAAAGCAGAGTTTAGCTGATAAAAAATTATATACTGTATTGTGTGAAATACTGAATTTTAGCCTGACTTTCTTCTGTAGGAATAACTTAGCAACATGTTTTTTTACCTTTGGAATTTGAATTTTTGGAGAATTGACATTTTCTGAAATATGAAAACGCAATAAGACATACACATTATTTCTACCCTGCCTTTAGGAATGTGGATTGTAGGCAAGACCCTTGGCAATCCTTGGGCCCTAGTTCTTTCATCTGGGATGAAGGCTCTTGATAAGACAATTTTTAGTATTTAATTTAGCTCATACTTCAGAATTTTGTTTATATGGTATTGGGCATTGAACCCCAGGTGTCTCACATATACAAGGCAAGCACTCTACCATTGGGTTATGTGTCTCCAGCCCCTGTAGAGACACCGTGGTACTAAGTTGTGATGCTCCTGCCTTAGCTTCCCTAGTAGCTGGGTTATAGGTGTACATAATCATAACTGACTTGTTTGGAAATTTAATCATTGATTTAAACATTGATTAGTTAATAGCTAATCAGTAGTTCATTTAATAGTTTAGAATTTATCCACTGATTAGTTAATAGGTAAATGTAAGTGAGCACTTGAAAGCTGTGGATGGTGTATATACAAGAGTATGTGGGTGCTATGGAAGTCTGTGTGAGATTTCTACTGCTTTCTCTGGCATGGATTGGGTTGTTGGGATATTGTTACTCATGACTTGTTAACTAGGTGAATAAGATTCATGCTTTGACCCTTGAACCAAGAAAAATAACATTACAATGTATCTACATTGGCATGGCTGCAAAAGTGGTAGAATTTTTTTGATTTTTATTAAACTGGTTTTGGATTAATTCTGAGGTTTGGATGCCACTGTTAAACTCCTGGGTAAATCATGACCTTCATAGCCCTACTGGTGCATTCATCCCACTTAATAACCTGCTTTAGGCCAGGTTCGGTGACACATGCCTGTAATTCAGCATGCAAGAGGAGGTGAGAGGATCACTGAGTTTGAGACCAGCCTAGGCTATATAAGTGAGTTCCAGGTCAACCTGAACTGCATAATGAAACCTTGTTTCAAAAAGACAAAACTAACTAAAGAAATAAATAACCTGCCTTAGAAAACAGGGTCTATTGTGTAGTAACCATCTTTTAAAATCCAGTTGTAGCCAGGCCCAGTGGTACATGCCTATTAGTCCAGCATTCAAGAGGCTACCAGGAGCATGAGGCCAGTTTGGGCTCTGTAGAGGGTTCAGGGCAAGCCTATACTACATAGCAAGAGCCTGCCAAAAAATGAAAGTTTTAAACTGGGTGTAATTGTGCACATGGTTAATCCCAGTAGTATGGGAGCCTGAGGCTGAAAGATTATATGTTTGAGCCCAACCTGGCCAATTTAGGAACTTATCCAACATCTTGTATCAACATAAAAATATAAAAGGGGATAGGATTGTGACTCAGTCCAGAGTCCCTAGATTCAGTCCCTCATATCCCCCCCCCAACAAAAAACACATAACAAAAACATTTTATTCATTCTTTTTTTTTGCAGTACTGGGAAATGAACCCAGGACATTTGCAAAAATTTCATTTTATTTATTTTTTGGTTTTTATGAGACAGAGTTTTGCTTTTGTAGTGAGGTTAGCCTTGAACTCATGTAGCACAGGTTGGCCTCTACCTCTTGGTGCTCTCCCTACCTCGCCTCATAAATGCTGGGATTTACTGGCATGTAGCACCATGCTGGGCAAAAATTCAGTTTCAGAACATTTTATTTATTCGTTTTTAAGACAGTGTCTGCTGTGTAGCTCAGGTTGGCCTTGGGGTCACTGTGTGGCCAGGCTGGTCTCAAAGAACCCATGGTGATCCTCCCGCTTCACCCTTCCAAAAGGTGGGATCACAAGCATGTGCCACCACACCTAGGCTTAAAAACATTTTAAAGAAACGAACTATTATGTACATGTACCAACTCCACAAAATGATTATAAAATGCGAGTACTGCAAACTTGTACTAACACCAATTTTAAAAAATAAAAACATGTTTTCATGTTTTGTTTTGAATTGGAAACTACATTTTTCTTCTGGTGTATGTGGTACTTGTGTAAAAACACGCATGAATATGAAAAGACATCTATTAGCAGTGTTCAGTATGTGCCAGGCACTGTTCTAGGTGCTGTGTGTCTCATAAACTCATTTAATCTTTGTAATGGGGCTGTTATCTTCATTTTAGATATGAAAAAACTGAAGTTAACTGCCATTCTTAACGTTTCCTGGCTACTAAATGGCAGAGCCTGGATTTGAACTATGCAGTGTGGCTTTCAAATTAGTTCATAACTCCATTGTAGCACCCAAAGCTACTCCTTAAAACATTTTTTAATAGTTTGTTTGCAGAACTAGGTATTGAGCCTGCAGCCTTGGATATGCTAAGTATTTAGTCTGTGCCAGGCTAAATCCCCAGCCCCCAAAATTGATCTAAATGTATTTACATTTATGCTATACAGATGTTTCAGTAAGTTACTGACTTTATTTGTACATTACTGCCATATCAGTATAGGCCTGGCCTGATTGAGGATGGTTATGTAGAATTCCATTATGAGTTAATAAACTGAAAGGAAAACTCACGGGTGGTTTGGTCATATTCATCTTTTTTTTCCTCTCACTGTAGTCCTAATGAGGACCGAACGTATAATGCCTTTCCCTGCCTTCACAGTTGGAGCCCTAGCCTCTAAATGTTGGAGTCCCCTCTGGTTGGTAGCACTTCACATGATACTGCCATTTTCTTTGAAATTTTCTCTGGCTTTAAAAGAGCCTATCATGAAAGAAGTTTTTCTTACAGTCAGAACATACCTTGTTTTAATAGGAGGAGAACACACTTTGATGAGAGCTAGGGAAGGCTATCTGCCATGGTTTTCAAGTTCACATAGCAAGTCAAGGAGTGAGTCATCCATGCATTGTGAAAGCCATAATGGTTGGATACAGTATCATGAGGAGAACAGATGTAAGGGACAGAACATTAGGAAGAGGGAAAAAGGATCATATAGATTAAGAAGTTAAGGACCTAAGGCAAGCCATCACTGTCACAAACAGTAATTCCAGGAAAGGTTAGGAGTTACTGCCAGGTAAATCAGCAGGATCAGTTTTAGAAAGGAAGTTTGATGATGCCTAACAGCTTTGTGCTAAATATTCCTGCTGTTGAGCTAGCAGAAGAGAGATAAGTTGTGTATTACTTGATCATTTAGAATGATCAGATTTATGGAAAATAATAGCCCAGCAAAAGGAAAAAAAATCAAAGATACCTCGGAGAAATTGTAGGTTCTAATTTAAGAAAAAAGAAACAGGGCTGGGGATATAGCTCAGAGTAAGACTATGATCAGGGATCTGGTTTGACCCCCCCCCCCCAGTACCACAGATACACAAAAGTAAAGAAATTAAAAATATTTTAAAAATTATAGCTGGTCATGCTGACCTGAGCACATGTAGTTGCAGCACTCAAGAGGCAAAGGCCTAGCAGTTCAGGGCTACTCTGGGCAGCATAGTAAGACCCTGTCTCTTAAACAGAGATGGATAGTCTTTGGAGGGTGTGTTTCGTGTGTTTCCTTGGAGTGTATCTTTTGTATTTATAACTGGGAAGCTAAAGACTGGGCTCTTACATTTTCTTTAATAGATGACAAATGTGCATTTGTGTTAAGGGTTCTATGTGTTCTACATGCCAGGAGCAGAGACTGAAAACTAATGAGATCTTTGCACTGACTGATGTAAACTGTGGACATATCTTTGCTTTCCTGTGTTAGAGTGAGAATTCTCATTTCAAGAGCATTTTGTAACATGTGCTGAAGGATTATAAATAAAATTACATGTTTTGAAAACCCTTCATTTTTTTCTCGCTAAAAATATACTTACTATAAATGCCAGTTTGTACACATTGGTCCTAGAAAAAATTTGTAATGGTGCATTTAACTCTTCAAGTTGCCCTTTTCTCTGCGTTACAGTCAGTCTCTTGTAGTTTTTTGAGCTGGGGTCTAGCACTTACCTGGGGCTGCCGCAAATAATCATGTAGTTGGTCACAGGCACCAGAATGTTAAACATTCCTGAGTTTTCTTGTGTGTATAAAGTGGCTTGCAAAATGGAGTTTTCTAGATTTTTTTTCATTAGCAGTGAAGTCTCTTTCACATGAAGTCTAGTCCCAGTGTATTAGAAAAAATGAAAATCCCCTGTTTCTCCTGCTCCCCTGATTTTTGTTTTTCCTTAAAACACAAAGCATTTAGGCTTTGTCAGGAGATACATTGATACAGCTGAGGATTTGGATTGACAGTTTTCCTGGTGGTTCTTCATTTGTTTGCTTTTCCAATAGTGAAAAAGAAGAAGATGATACTGAAAAGAGAGAAGATCCAGGAGATAACTGGGAAGAAGGTGGAGGTGGTGGTGGTATAGAGAAATCTTCAGGTCCCTGGAACAAAACAGCTCCGGTACAAGCACCTCCCACTCCAGTAATTGGTAATTCTGTTTCTGTCTCAGAAGACAGCTTTCTGATACACAGTTGTACTTGGCCTGTGCATTCAGTTAAATGCATGCTTATGGTATGGTTACGAGCTCTGGAAAAACTTTTTTGATCTTAAATGGAAGAAATTTGAAAGTTAAGAGACATGTTTTTATTGTGTAAAAATATTACACAACAACTTGCATTGTGCTCCGAGTATTTAATGTATTTATTTATGGTATTGAGGATTCAATCTAGGGCCTCACACATAGTAGGCAAGTGCTGTATTACTGAGCTACGCCACCAGCCCCAAATGAAGTTTTTGATATGTGGAAACCATGTACATGTTTCTGTTTATGTATTGAGTATGAGGTGGGGAGTTAGGAAAGTTTAGAAAGTTGTGTCCCCAAACTATTGGGATGGTAGATCATGGTCTGCTCAGCTGCTCAACTTTTTTCTTGTGTTACCTGAATTTTCTAGAAAAACAGTGAAGATCTTCATTGATGTGGAAGAGAATGAAATAGATTATCTAATTACTTGTTTTTATTTTTTTATCATCTTTATAATTTTAAGCAGCACAGGCATTTTGTTTACATGTGGCATCTCCTTTAGTTTGTCATCAGGTAAAAAAATGATTATTCACATCTACTCACAGAAACTGAGGGCTGTTGCCCAGACCAGCAGCAGATTTCTTCCCACTTCCATAGCAACGCTTTAGAGCTGTTTACCTAGAAAGTTCAGATTGTACCTGGAAGAGCAGCTGGAGTACTACCCTAAAGAGAGTGTTCACTTTGGAAACATTTCAAACTGCTTTTCCTGCTATTGGTCTCACCCATATACCCTTTCTGTATCAGAGGTTGTTTTCTTATTAAATGATCTAGGAGTCTAGGAATGGCTTATTTAAATGCAGAACATTTGAAAATAGTTTCTCTAAACTGTTGTAAAATATTAGTTACAGAAACCCCAGAACCGGCAATGACTAGTGGTGTGTATAGGCCTCCTGGGGCCAGGCTAACCACAACAAGGAAAACTCCACAAGGACCACCAGAAATATACAGTGATACACAGTTTCCATCCTTGCAGTCCACTGCCAAGCATGTAGAAAGCCGGAGGTAAGTACCCTAATTACTGCCTTTTGTGTGGGACCTTCCAGCCCTTGTCCCAGAGATGGTATGGGGGTATGCAAACCCACTAGAGGGAAATTACGCTTTATGTGCTGACAAGCAGCTGAGAACCAGGCTGGATCTTAGGAACCTAGGAGGGAGGCAGGGGGGCAGGGCAAGGGGAAGAGCAGGAAAGCCATGCTTTCTGCCATCCATCAGCCTCTCTAAGCCCTGGTGTGTGTTTTAAGGCGATGGCAAATCATGTAACTAGAATTCTTTGTAAGTATATTACTAGTTTATGTTCCTTATTATATGGAACTTTGAAATACAGGAGCACAGTGTTCCTTATATTCTCAGTAAACATGAATAGGTGAATGATGTTGGCGTTCATAAATCTAATATTAAAATAATCTTATTTCAGCAGGTACTTAAAATGAATGCTACCTGGAATTAAATGACCACATATGGTTCATCTACATCTTAGGGACATGAATTTTTAAAAGTAAATAAAATGGGAAGAAATATAAATGACATCAGATGGAAATTTTTTTTGGGGTGGCTTTTAAAGTAAATCCCAGCCTTTTTGCCTCTTTGAGAGCACAGCTGGCTTGAATTTAAACCTCCACTTGGACTGGCTCCTCTACTCTGTGGTACAAAATGTATAAGGGACGTCTGGGAGGGCAGTGACTCACCATTGCCCGTCTTTCCTTATCTGATCTGACCCATACACTCACTCCCACAAAGCAGAAATGAGGAGAAGCTGTTATCATGAGAACTTTACTTGAATAAGAAAATTGTTACCCTTATACATAAACATTATCAACTAATTGCTAAAAGTGAAAGTCTTAGGAAGAGTCATTACAGTTTCTTTCCGGTTGTTTCCAGGTTGGTCCCAAGATAGGTCTGCAGTAATGCTCTTTAGTGGAAGATGAGACCATAAGAGCTGCAGTACAGTATTGTGTATTTTCTGTTCAATTGAAGCCTTAAAATACTTCAATGCTGATTTTATGTACCATTTCTCCCTTTCTGTCTTTCCCCAAGATTCTTTTAAGGGGTGGCTTTTTAAAAAAAATTAAAGGAAGGACATTTTCCAAAAAACTCTAGTGAAGAACTATTTACTGATAACATTTCTTTTCCCTTAGGGATAAAGAAATGGAGAAGAGCTTTGAAGTAGTAAGACACAAAAATAGAGGTAGGGATGAGGTTTCAAAAAACCAGGCCCTTAAACTTCAGCTAGACAACCAGTATGCTGTGCTTGAAAACCAGAAATGCAGCCACACACATTACAATTAAGAAATGGTCTTTGCTAACCCCTCTAAGGTAACTAGACCACAGCTAACCATCATGAACAGCCATTCATCATCTGATTTCTGTTGGATCTACAGCATCCGATACAGACCATGCAAGTGACCAGCGTATTGCACTATGGAAGTTGAAAGTATCACAACTGCTCTTTATGTATATTGGATTTAGGGGAATTTTCATTGTTATATAAATGTGTGAACTAGATTCAACACTTTTTTGCTCTGCAAATACAAAAAACCAAAACCTGCAGCCAGTGGTCATTCGGAAAATCTTTTTATGTTCAGATACTGAGCCTTTGTAAGGGTTGACTACCTCAGATTTGCTGCACTCTTTGTGGACTTCATGTGGATCACAACTTCTGGATAAGAAGGTTACAGCTATTAAAGTGTTGATGTGAACATTGAAACCAGCTATACTGGATTCCTACCAGAAATCCTGCAGAAAGTCAGCCATCTGGGTTCTGATCTGCTGTAAAAGATGAAGATTTAAGTGACCTTAATTAACCTGTCCTGTGCCCTACCCTAAAGAGTACTCTGTAGTAAGCTGTGGCTATATTAGACTTTTGAAACATGCCGCTTTCAAAACAAACTGATATGTTCAGATCATCTGAGTAGGGCTGAGATTTATAATTTTCAATTTTTAGTTAGTCTGAGGTAACTACAAATTAAATTCTACCAAACTTGGGTCCACCAAGTGGGAAAGAGGGTGGGCTGGGGGAATAATCTAGTTTCCTTTAGTAGTTTTTTTTTTTTTGTATAGTGCTTTCTTTCTGTGTTCCACATTAAGGCCTTTTTTGCTTTGACTTAGAATAAGTTCTTTGACAGCATATTGCTTGGTTAAGTAACCTGAGATATGCATTTGAATTGTGATGTCTTGTGAATTTGCCAATCCCTAGAGTGGAACCAAATAGCCTTTGATGTAAAGGGCAGCGGATGCTGGAGGCTCTACTTCAGGTGCTGCTACAGCCTCCTCTAATCAGGTCTAAATTGTGTAGTAAACTGCTGTGGAAAGAGTATGGTTTCTGCTCAGGCTAAGGCAGTGGTGGCAAATGCCTCGGTGGGCTATTCATTTTACTGAAAGCTCTAAAAGGTTTGCCATCACTGGGTGAAGGGATTCACTGATGTCCTACAGATTCAAAGCCACAAAGCTAAACCTCACCTAGCACCCATTTCAGTTTCATGGATCTTGCATGATCTTTGACAAGACTTCCTTATGTACTTGTGCCCAGACTTTTAAGGTATTGGCCATTCTGTAGATGCAGTGATTGTCCCAGCTAGCTCTGTTAACAGCCTTTTGCTGTGTTTTTATAGTGTTCATTTGGAAAGGCAGGGCTAAAGATACTAATGTAGCACTTCTTTTAATAACTGTGGGCTACAGACTATCCAGTAATATATGGTAGTCCTGCAAGAAACTTTGAAACTCCCCAGGATTACTGAACTTTTTTTCCACCTAGTAAGATTCTAGCAGTTTTTCCTTGGTCTAGTATCTTTAGTTCGGTGGAACTATTTCTTGATTTAGTGACCACTTGATGCAGAGTCTAGGTTTCTCTATAATAAATTCCTTTGCCAAATGCAGGAGTTGCAGACTTGCTACTGGCAAAAGTAAAGCGAGTGGGTAAGTAAACCTGTCCTGGTGTTGGGCATTTTCCTATAGAGTTTCAGTCTTGATGAACATGTCATGTGGCAGTCGGACTCCTAGGAGGGCTGTACACTGTCTCCTGACAGGTCCAGCAGCTACTGTGGGTAGCAGCGTTGCCCACCTCTGAGGCAGCAGGTACGATGCCTGCCTTCTGGTGTATTTGGGTGAGTAGCTGAGCCAGCCAGGGGAGTTTGGATGATGAAGGGAAAGTAAGAGATTCTTGGTTAAGCTGAAGACTTCATTTGGGAACCAAAACAAGTAATCTCTTGGATTTTGAGCCACACATTTTGCTACAGAAAAAGTATGCATTTTCCTACAAAATTTTGTCAGGGGTTATGTTATTGAGAGGTGAAGTGAAATGAATATGAGGTTTTATTTAACAGCACACTGTACTGGAAATCTGAAGACCTGCAGCAGATTTAAACTCCAGGCTCTTGTTACCATTTTTTTAAAAGATTGTGAAATTACAAAAATGCACAGGAATCACGTTTTAATATACTGTATGATGGGTGGATGAGGCAGTCCATTGTACCATTTCTTTCTTTGGATTCTCAGGCATGGTTTGGCAGTGCAAGAACTCTGTAACATTAACGAATTCAATAAAAAGTACTAAGGACTGCGGATTGTAATAGTTTTTATTCCATATCCTTAACCTAAGCTGTCTTTGGAAATGGTACATGATGGCAGGCTCCTTGCAGGTGAGTGAATGATACTGCTGCCTTAGGAGTGTGCTGGTGTTTGACAAGCAGAGGACAGTGTTGGTGAAAATGAGTGCAAATAAATGCTTAACACAGCAAGGGGCCCTCAGATCTTTATCCTGTAGACTAAAGATTGGAGGCTTTGTCACTTGAAGCTTTTTCTCAGAAGCACAGCAATTTTAAATTCCAGGATTTTGTTTGGGCTGTAGTTCCTAAATTTCTAGGCCAGAGAAGGTGGGTTGTATACAGTCATTATTCCAGAACAAAAGATTTCCCTGTCATTTCTCACCCTACCCAAACATCTCTCAATTCTGGGCAGCCAGTATTCTATTTTTAGCCTTTCTAGACTTTTCTTCTGGACATTCATACTTAAAGGTTATAGAGGCTGGGTACGTGGTACATGCCTGTAATGCCCACACTGGGGAGGCAGGAAGTTTGCTGTGGGTCGAGGCCAGGTTCAAGGACAGCCTGAATTATGTAATGAGACCCTGCCTCAAAAAAACAAAGATTATAAAATAAATGATCTTTGCCTCTTTGATGGCATATTCTGAAGCTTACATATGTTGTAACATGATAGCAATGCCTTATTCGTTTGTTTTGGTATAATATTGGGGATTGAACCTAGGACCTTCATATTGATCTGTGCTACCAGTCGTTTGTAAAAATTTTTGACACAGAATCCTGCTATGTTGCTAAGTTGCCCAGGTTGGGCTTATATTCGTAGTCCTCCTGCCTCAGCCTCCCACAGCACTGAGGTCGCAGACATACACAATGTGTTTTTGAAACAGTTCCACTTTGATACAGCTAGTTTTTTAATTGTTCAGCTTTCATTTAGGTTTTGGATTTACTCAGTTAATTTCTAGTGGTGTGGGTAAGAATGCTGATGATCCACATTCATCCTTGGGCAAATGGATAGCCAGTTGCTCAGCACCATTTCTTAAACAGACTCCCACAGCTCAGCTGAGGCACACTGAATGCTTACCTTCCTTTAGAATGTGAAGTTGGCTGCCGGTGAGAGCACAGGTGGAGACTCAGTAAGTTGGGACTGTGGAATAATAATAGAATGAGGTCATCAGGCTAAGGGGCTGGTTGACAGAGATGTGAAGAAGTGAGGTTAGAGTATGTCTGGGGAATGGGAACAAGTCAATGGGGTTATTTAGAGATCTGAAGGAAGATCATGAGCAGGTGTCCTTGGTGTCCTGAAGCTGCAGTGTGATAGTAGCTTCAGTTTGTTAACCACTAAAGCCAGGTATGAGGAAGGCCTGGGAAAGGCAGACAAGTTACAAGTTGATTCTCTTGGGCTTGATACAAAAAGTGAGTAGTATGAAAGACACCTTTAATTGAAGTGTTTACTTGTGTGATACAAAAGAATTAGGTCTGCATAAGATAGACAATATAGTTAATGTCTTTATTAATGTTATGCCAAGTGAGAGCTAGAATTCTCAGTAACGATGTAACAAGATGGATAGGTATGTGAACTTTATGTTTACGTTGTGACAAAATACTTTGTATAAACAGTTTGAAGGAGGAAAAGTTTATTTTTGCTCATGAGTTTCAGTCTTGTGATGGGCTAACTGCTGATTTTAGTCATGGACAGGCAGAAACCATGGTAGCTGGGGCAGAGGAAAGCCCTTCATCTTACAGAAGCCAGGGAGGGTGAATTTCCAAAAGTCCCAGAGGAAGAGGCCAAGGAACATACATAGTGCCCAAATTTTGTCCCAGGATCTGATCTCTCCACCCAAGCCCCATTTCCCCCACCCAATAAAACCATTAGATTATTTCCGTGGACCCATTGAGGAAGTCAAGAGTCCTGATCCATACCTTTCTGGAAATACCCACAGGAACACAGGAGTGTGTTTTGGTATTTCTAGGTCCAGTCAAGATGAGTGGTCACAATAGGACTTAACCATTTTAAAACCATTTTTGATCCTTCAGTGTAACATTTTGGGGAGCTAATCAAAGCGTGCACCAAGAAACTCCTGTGAAGATAAGATCCTTTGTCTCTGAATACTATAGAAGAGGGTGGGTGTGAGACCATTGGCATTCTGTAGGCTGCCAACTTCAGTGTCTTGAGAGAAGCTGTTTTAGGAAAAAAGATTTAATGGGATGATTGAAAAAGTTGTAAGTAGCGGTCTACTATGGCAAGCTTTATTTGAAACTTTTTTTTATCTCAAGCTCTGAGATAATGGCATATTTTTACTGTCTTACCTTGTAACAAATAATGGTGTAATTTCCTCGTGTGGGGGCCATCCTAATCTCTGTGCATTCCAGTTTTAGTATGTGTGCTGCCAAAGGGAGCCTGGTGTAATTTTCTATACCATCTACCCACCTGTCTTGCCTTTGCTTCCCTTGTCTTCCTTTCCTCTCCTCCCCTCCACTCCTTTTCTTCCTTCCCATTGTTTTTTGAGACGGGAAATTGCTATGTGGTCCAGTCTGATGCTCACAGTTCTGCCTCTGCTACCCAACTTCTACTGGTGTGTACCTCCCCTGGGTTGTGTGTGTAGGGGGGGCAAGATCCATACTAGTGATTGAACTTTTTAGAGCTTTTAGTGATACAGCCTGAGGCAGCACACGTGTTATACGTTTGCTACCCCTGCTCTGTACTGAGCTGTTCCTAACCCGTCTCTAGCATTTTATCTTTTTGTGTAGGGAAGCGAAATGTACAAAATAAAGCATTGTTTTGAACATTAGCGTGTAGAAACTAGAAAAGTACTACTCAGAGCAGAGACATTGTCCAGTTTAGACAGCACATTGAGCCCTAAGTAGGTTTTTGTTAGGTGTAAGACAGCTGTTAAGATTATGTCCATAGTTTTGTTTCTGTTTTTTGGGGTCTTTTTGAGACAGTTTCACTATGTAGCCCAGGCTGGTCTCCAAGACACAGCAACACTCTTGTCTCAGCCTCCCAATTCTGGGACTACAGGTGTGTGCCCCTGTGCCCAGCTAACCTGCTCCATTTTGGAATAATTTGGTGATTTTTTAAAAGATCTTTATGCCTGACTCCTATCTCCATACATTCTTACTTAATCCATATAGAATGTAGTCTGCACACAGTTGTTTTGTTTGTAATTTGTTTGTAATTGCAGTTAATCCTAGTGTGCAGCAAAATTTGGGTACCACTAGATTATGTATAAATTGTTATAGAGTGTTGGAAAACAGTCCCAGGACTAACACTGGGTAGGTAGGAAGTCCCTTAAATTGTATCTTTAGCCCAAAAAGGATTAGGCTCAGCACATTATTCTATAGTGTTGTTGGGATGTGAACCCACAATCCTCCCCACTGAGTTACATCTGTCCTTTTAAATTTTGAGATGATTTTACCAAGTTGTCTAGCCTGGGCTGAAACTTACAATCTTCCCATCTCAGTGACCTATGATGCTGGGATTACAGGTATGTGCCACCATGCCCAGCTTCTAAATGCATTTTTGAATACTGGTAAATGAGCAGAAATAGCCAAGGGCAGGAGGTATGTGTACCTGCAGTAGTAAATACACTAGTTATCAATATAAGGACCTTTTTTTAAAAATTTTTTTTATTTTTTAACTTTTTATCAGTACCAGGGCTCGAACTCCACGACCGCCTGCTTGCAAGGCAGGTGCTTATGCCGCTGAGCTAAATCCCCAGCCCCAGGACCATTTTTAATAGTTTACCAATAAGATTTCTGTAGCTGCACATTCCTTCTGTAACACAGTACTCTTCTGTTTGGCTTGTGCCTTGACAGGAAATCTGTAACTACTCCAGTTTGCTTATTGTACAGGTTAATTTGCTTTATACTGCAGCTGGCTAGCTTTAATGTACCCTTCGTTTTCCCCATTTACACCTAAATTTCAAGGGTTTCTTTACAGTTCTGCGACAGAAACCGTAGTTAATTTTACCAGAGATCAGCCTGACAGCAGTAGAACCTGGGACTCACCTACTTAGGAGCCAGTACCACAGTCCCTTTGCAGGGCTGGTGTCAGCTCTGCAGGTTGTTTGTTTTTATTTGACTCACCAGGGCTGCCTTGTGGCATTGGCTGGGGGGCGGGTTGCATGTCCAGGGCTATCATGCCTTGCTTTGGCGTTTCTCTGGTTTTATGGTATACATTTATGCAGTCTTTGATCAATCCCAGAGCATCAGGCAAATTGAGATGCAGTATCTCTAGCCCTTTTAAAATCTCAAACCCAATTGCAGTAGGTTGACACAGCCTCAAACGTGAGACTCGCCTGTCAGCTTCCTAAGTAGCTGGGGTTACAGGTGAACACCGCATGTATACCTTTAATTAGGGATTCCCAACTTCATTAATGGGAGGTGAAGAGCAGATTGCAGACATAGGTTACACAGTATTCCTTCATTCTCCCGACTTTTAAAGCCTTAACTCCAGCCTGGCAAGTGTTAACCACCATTGGAATTTTTTTTTTAATAACGAACTTTAAAATTTATAGTCTTTAACCCTGGGCCAGGCATTGTACTAATCAGGTAAACAAGTAGCAAATGTGTGCTGGTTCATTCCTGAAAGCCCTTCAAGCACAGGATAGGGTCAGGTGGTTTAAGTACCTGGAAGTCACAGCTGGTAGTGCAGGCGCCCTGGCTTCCATACCAGTGTTTTGGCTCTAACACGTTCTTAACCTGGAGGGTCTGCTTCCCCTCTGCTCCTTGGGTTTCACACAAGAGAAGGAAAACAGGAAACAAGTGTCCTTCGATGCTGACGTGGAGATGCACTTTGCTCACCCCATCCCAGCCTGGCATGGGCACAGCATTCTGCCTTTAGCTTCCCTCCAAGTACAGTGGAAAGTCTTTAATGCTGGGGTAAGTTGAGTTGTCCTGGTTTTAAATGGCTGGGTGTGGAATTTTAGTTTTTTAGAATGTTTTATAAAAATTGCAATGACATTATTACAGAGAATAGTGTAAGACATGCCCTTTACAAACCCAATTTCAACAAATGTGACAAAACTCAGCCTGAGAACACCTTCCCGTTTGCCTGGGTTATTTTAAAAGTAACTTCTGACCCCTTTCATCCATATTTTACCAGTAGATGCTTGGCGGTGTGTGTGTGTTTTGGGGGGGGGGGGTACTAAGGCTTGAACCCAGGACCACCTCCCTGAGCTGCATCCCCAGCCCTTTAAATTTTTAAGACAGTCTTCCCAAGTAACTGAACTGCCCAGGCTGGCTCAGCCTTCAAGTTGGCTTACCAATGGATGCTCTTGACCTAAAGGCCGTTACACACCTAAGAAATCTCTATATTATCGGATCTCCTGTTTTGTCACTGATTCCTCTTGGTGCTGGATGCAGGCTCAGGTGAACCTTTGATGCAGTCTTTGAAGACTCCCCTCATTTCCCCACCTTATTTTTCTTACCATTGGAAACCTGGTCATTTGGCTTGTAGAAATTTCTGTATTCTGGATTCAGCTGAGGGCTTTTCTCCTGTAAACAAGTATTGTGCTAGCTAGTTGTTCTACAAGTAGCTAAGTTCACAAATACAGGTGCATGCATGGCTAGAGATTCTGGGTTTCTATGGAGGAAAGATTGGGCTTCTTTGCACAGCAGTGTTGGAGTAATTTTATCATCCTGTAGCTCTTGCTCCTCCAAACTGTCCTGAGGCCCAGAAGATGCTTTTAGTGAAGACACAAGAAATACGTCTGCTGTGCATCCTCAAAATCTCAATGCCCACCTTCCTTCACAGACAGATGCCGCTGTGCTCCTGAGATGGGCTGCTTTTGGTGAGGACAGCAGCTCAGCAGCAGAGGCCACCAGGAGAGAACTGAATGCTAGCAAGGAAGAGGCTTGCTTCCCATGTGTGGTCAGGAGAGCTCCGGGTACCTACACTTCATCACCTTCACATGGCAGCGCTAGGCGCAGCAGCCCACACCTCCTCCTGCAGGGTCCTCCCCACTGCTGACATGGTCCCCAGGGTGGGCTGTGCTCCCCAGCCCAAGCTACCTCCAGCAAGTTTCTTTACCTCAAATCTGGGAAAGAGGGCAGCACCCTCTCCTGATGTCAAGTTCTGCCCAGCTTCCTCAGTGTTAGCCTAATAGCTGCTTTTTGCAATTGCTATTTTTATATTTTTAGTAGTTGCTTTTTACTAGTTAAAAGAATTTTAGTATTAAGAGTTTCCTGCTGTGTTTGTTTCCAGTTTTAGTGCTGGGTGACTCTTAAGATCTGAATGCTTAGTTAACTTGAGTCTAATTAACAGAATAAGGGTGGGATACTAATTTGAGTTATTGTTTTTATTCTTTATTGTCACATTTCCAAGTTTTGGTGCCCGAAGTTGCAAACATCATGGAAGTTTATACAAACATACATATACATATATACAAAACATGTATATAGGTTTAAAGCCCCACGTTTCTCTTTAACCCTGTGCTCAGGTGCCTATTAAAGAGTAAAATCAAGGAAACATGAAAAACCCCAATTGACAACTTTTGTTTTCATGAATTAAATGATATTTTGGAGCACATCTCATCACCATGCAAATTCCACTGAGCTACAGCCTCAGATGTTTGAGAAAAATAAACATCTGTGTGTTTTAAAAACAACCTAGCTAAGGAATCGTACTTTACACGTAACTTTTTTTTAAAAAAATTAAGGAACAGTATTCAGTGATTGAATTCCAGGTGTTAAAAACTTCAATTGGGATCATCATTACTTTCTGGAACAATTCTTTAGGCACTTGTCTTTATTACAGAAATCCATCACAGTAACATTCAGGCCATTAACTTAAACATTGGATGTTTGGTAACCGAAGAGCAGTTGATTAGTGTATTCTAGATCGTTTGACTTTATTTTTCTCTGCAGAAGCTTTTCTCTTTTGTGATAAGCCAGGTCCAGGTTCCTTATTATTTTGAAGAAATGAAACAGCTTCTGGTAGACAGTAATTTTCTACAGGAGGAGGAGATTCCTGTAAGGGCAAAGTAAACATTTCTTTTTCAGATTTCAAACTTTAAATCAAGCAACAGTTTAAATCAAGCAACAGATTCCTTTACTCTGCTGTGCCTTTTTTTTGGACAGCACTGAAGATTGAATCCGAGGCTTTTGCATTGAGCTATGTCCTCAGCCGTATTTATTTATTTATTGAATGTTTTGAAGCAGAGTCTTGGCAAGTCAATAGTTGCCCAGGTAGGGATCAAACTTGTGACCCTCATGCTTCCACCTCCAAGAGTGTTAAGATTACAGGTGTACTCCTTTATTCTACCTTCCAGTAGAAAAACAATGCATATTAACTCCTTTGCCAGTCAGCACACTGCATTTAGTGAAGAGACCCTGTGAGACAGTCTCACCCTTTATCAAAAAAATGAGTGGTCAGCTCAGATACAGTGGGGCTAGCTAGCTCAGACCTTAATGGTTTCACAGGTAAAATAAGGATTAAATATGGTCAGTAACTGTCATTTAAGTGTATGTTATTAGGTCTCGTATAATATTCCCAAATACAGTACATATGAAAACTTTTTCTGTCTTTTGGAGACAGGGTTTCACTATACAGTTCAGGCTAGCCTCAAACTTGGAGCAATTCTCCTGTCTTACTCTCCCAAGTGCTGGGATTACAGTTGTGAACCACCATGCCCAGTCCATATAAAATTTAAAGTTAAGTAAGGTACTCAGTGACACATAATCATCCCCATTCCTTGGAAGTAAGACCTAGCGGCAAAATAATCAGCCTTGAAGACCAGAGATCAAAACTGCCAGCCCCAGTCCACTTATGCTGGCCTTACCTGCCGTCTTGTTTGGTGGTTGCTCTGCAAGACAAGGCAAGGCTGAGCCGATTTAGGCAGGCATTTTTGATTTCTAGTTCAGCTAAGCCCTACTTGCAGGTGGAAAAGTCAAAATTCAGGCTCTTCACCTGACTCCAAAACACCTTTCTTCTCTGCAACCAGTTACTAATATTGGAAAAAAGGTTTTTCCACCTTTACTATTACATGTAATAAAGTTTAACTTTCTGGGAAATGCAGTAGACTGAATAACCCCTGGAAATAAATCACCACAAAGTAGCAGGTAACTGCCTTTTGACTTAGTTGTTCCACAGATAGAGCTATAAATTCTATCATATATTGAAGGCAACAGCTTTATGTAAGACAACAGATTAAACAGAGGGAACTTAAAGCTGGAAGAACAGAATGGTACACTTTTCCATTTTTATCTTCTGCTTTTAGTCTGAGTAGAGGCCCCAGTTTGTGGTGAAGACTGGCTAAACCCTGACAGCAATGGCTGAATTCAAGAATCAGACAGGATGGCAACTGCAGCCCAGAAAAGACAAAGTGGGGAGCCCTAAGGCCAGTGTACAGAGCCTGCCCTCACCTTTGCTTGGCCCTAAATTGTGTGTGTGCAGAACTGACATGAGCTGAGGCCACGGAAACTGACACTTGAGCTGCCAGATCGAATCACTCCAAACTGAAATACTCAGATATAAACAAATGTTACATGGTATCTGTGTATTGGGAATTACAAGATGATCATGAAAAATAAAAGACCAAATTAATAGATATGCAATTTTCCTTGTTTAAGTAACAATAGAAATTTGCATTCATCTTACAATTAATGCAGTTCTTACCAAAATTCTTTTATTTTGGTGGATATAAACAAACCTACTTTAAAAATGACCATGTGTAAATATACATCCCTATAATCTCAAAAAGACTGTGTCTAGCCTGGGAAAAATTAGCAATACTCTCAACATTAAGAAGGGCTGAGGGTGTAGCTTGGTGGTAGAGCACTTGCCTAGTGTGAGGAGGAATGGAATGATAGCTGGTAGCTCAAGTTGGAAAACTTCTAGAAAAAGAACATTAGAGAGTACATTGGCACCCCAGGAAAACAAAAGCTTCTCTGAGAGTCATCAAAGAAATACAAATTTAAAAATTGTGACGTGATTCCACAGATGGCTAAAAATCAAGTGATTGTCAATACCAAATGTCAGAATATAGAACTGGATAATCCTTATCCATACAATTGAAGTATAAAATGCAAACAATCTCTTTGAGTAACAGTTGGCTTTTTCTTAACAAATTAATGCATACATATTATCCAACTTGGCAGTTCTACTCCTAGACATTTGCCTGGGAAAAATGAGAGAAATGAGAAAGTACACCCATAGAACAATTGTTTTTTAAAAGTAGCACTGGGGACTGAAATCATGTCTCACATATGCTTAACAAGTGGCCTAGCACCGAGTGGCATCTCACTGCCACTCCTCTTTGGGACAAAGTCTTGCTAAATTATCCTGGTTGGCCTCAGGGCTTCAATCTTCCTGCCTCAGCCTTCTGAGTAGCTGGGATTATATATTAGTGTGTCACAGTGCCAGCCAAAGGCCTAAACAGTCCAGGAAACTATCAATAGGCAAATGAATAAAGTATTATCTTTGGACAAAAGAATATTATGCAGGGCTGGGGGTTTAGCTCAGCAGCATAAGCGCCTGCCTTTCAAGCAGGCAGTCGTGAGTTTGATCCCTGGTATCGATTAAAAGGAAAAAAGACAAAAAAAAAAAAAAAAAAAAAAGCATATTATGCAATAAAAGAAATGAACTGATATACACTGCAATTTGGATGGATCTAATCATCATGCTGAGCAAAAGCCTTACATAAAAATAGTACATATATGATGCCATTTCTATGAGGCTCTAAATCGGGCAACACTAACAGTAGGGGAAAAGAATCAGAACAAAGGTTACCTCTGTGGGGCTGGGATAAGGAACTGTCCTGGAATGATGGCCATGTTCTTCATACTGACAGGTTTGCAATACACTGAAAACATATGATTTCTCTGTACCTTTTTTTTTTTTTTTTTTTTTTGCTATCAGAATCAAACTCAAGACCTTGTGCTTGCCAGGGAGGCACTTATGCCACTGAGCTGTATCCCCAGCCCGTCACTGTACATTATATTAAAACAGTAAATATTGGATTCCCCTTGATGATACATATACATGCTCAGTATTTGAGGAGGTAAGTATACTGGTGTCTGCAACTTTCAAGTGTGTAAGAAATAAGATGAACTGATAAGGGAAAGATAGCAAATGTGATCAAATGAATGAATGAAAGACACAAAGAGGAAGTACAAATACTTAGTGCTTAGCCTTGCACCTTAAAAATGATCACTAAATACTACTGGTTCCTACTTAGAATGATCAGCAATTCCTGGAAGGAATGAGACAAAAGGGTTTTCTATATCTTCTCAACCCATCCTTTCTCATATTAGGTAAATTTTTATAACATCTGAAGTTGTTTAAGGCCAACTCTCCCCATGTAGCTGAGGCTAGCCTCGAACTCTCTGAGTCATCCTTCCCCAGGCTCCTGAGTGCCGCGATTACGTGTGTGTGTGCCACAATGTGTGGCTCAACACATTCACAACAGGGCTGTAATTCATAGGCCTCATTGCCAGGTAGCTCTGAAAATGCAGCACTGTCCCATCACGTGGCCCAGAACAGCCCCACTGAGTGGCACTACTTGGGGCAAGAGTGTGTTAAAGATTTTTGTTTCTTGTTATTTAGGTGTTCAAGTAGCTATTCCTGGGTTACTAATACTCAGTATATCTTCTTTATGATAAAGGTTTGACATTTATGTCTCAGGAATATTTTTTGTACTGAGAATCAAACTCAGGACTTCATACTTGCCAGGCAGGTGCTACAGCATTGAGCTAAAAAATTCCTGGCCCTACTTATTTTTTTTTTTTAGTTTATTTATGAGATAGGGTCTTCCTAATCGGGCTCCTGACTGCCAGGATTACAGGTGTGTACCACTATGCCTGGCTTCGGAATTCGTGCTGTTAAAACCCTGAGTAACGGCACAAGCAGCAAACTCCTACAGGAGGCTAAGTGTTGGCTCCCCTTCTATACTACTCCATTTTAATCCTTCATAGTAGGGTACTCCATATGCCATAGCCTGCTGAGTCATGATGGCTTTCCTTTCAGGCACTCTGGTACCATGAAGATTTTGCTTTGCCCATTCAAAGCATACCACATAGGCCAATTCCAAGTGCATAAATCCTCCAGCAAACACTTTGTTTATTGCTGTGTCTAACACAGACATTTATCTAATATCAACACAAAGGTCAAGAACCTTTAAAGAGGGCCTTTGGATAATTATCCTTGGACACCTAGAATCAATTTCTGGCTTTTGTTTTTGAGACAGGTTCTCTCTATGTGGTTCAAAGTGGTCTTGAACTCACTTTGTAGCCCAGATTGACAAATTTACCATAATTTCCTGCCTTAGCCTCCCAAGTGCTGGGGTTACAGGTGTGTGCTGCCACAGCTGGCAATGAGCCTCTTTTATACCCAACATTTTAAAGGGGAATTTAGAAGTTTTTAAAGGTTGTTAGATAACTTTTATAACTTCTTATAACTTCTGTGTTGAATGCTTCCATTGTGTTCTTTACAAAAAACGGAATGATGTGAAATGCACTGAGGACAGCAGGCACCTAGTGTTCTGTCAGGAACAGGACAGGCTCTGGATGTGTAGTTGCTCTCTCACGTCTGTAAGCATGGCCCTGAAACGGGGGAGTCACATACAAAACGTCACACACCTGCATAAGGTAGTCGGCAATGTACTCTGTCCTCAAGCAGTACACATGCTGGGCAGCAGCTTCCACTATGTTAACTCCTGAGTCATCCGGTTTCAGTTTATTAAAGTCAGAAAAGAGATGTGTGGCCTCTTTAAATAAAGCCAGCGAATGACCCGGTAGCACCTAAGGAAAAAACAAATACCAAAGTGTCCCAAAGCAGTTCAACAGTACAGAGCTGATCACAGTGATCTCCATTAGACAATAATTCACGTACAAAACCAAGTGAACTGATTAGATACAGACCTTTGCTCCTCCTGACTGAAGCAAACGCTTGAAGCCTGCTTCTCGGGACTGGTCAACATGTAAGATAACCTTCCACCCGCTAAATGCTCCCTAGAAATAAATAGCCTCTGTTGAAATCATATGGAAAATGACAAAATACAGATAATGCATGATTTTATCTATAATCAGTTTTATGTCAACAGCTAATCTAATCATTACTTTGCCATCATTTTATGTCTCTGGTCAGACACTGCTGCCTGGCACACAGCCATCATAAATACTTGAGGAACAAAGAAAACACATCATGAAGTAACATTTAAAAAGTCAGCGTTACTACAGGCATACCTGCACACTCATAGTTCATGTTGTGAAAGTCATAACAACCAACATATGGAACCAGTCTAACTACCCATCAACCTAATAAGTGGATAAAGAAAATGCCATGTGCATGTGTATACATCATGTATACACAATGGTATACTATTCAAAAGGATGAAACTGCATTTGCAGGAAAATGGATAGAATTAGAGATCATCACATTCAGCAAAATACATTAGACTCAACAAATACCACATATTCTCCCTAATATATGGAATCTAAAAAGAGATGACATGAAAGCAGAATCCCATTTTCAGATAGGTAGAAGGGAACAAGGCATGGGATGGAAGGCAGGTAACAGGGAGGATGGATACAATCAAAATGTATGCATTTAACCCCCCTGAAAATGTTGTGATTTACAGGTTAGCAAAAGTAAAAAAGCATTTTTCCCTATCGATGCAAACTATACAGCCTTCCTAATCTGATGTACAAATTCATTGTTGAGTGAGTCTATGGACCCAGGTTAGAAACCCCTGAAGCAAGAAGCTAAAAAGATTCTTTGGAAGAAACACTGTAAGAGCCATATTTTACACATATAAATTATTTTTTAAAAAGCTACCAATATATCACTGGGCATGGTGGTGCTTGCCTATAATCCTAGCATTCTGGGAGACTAAGGCAGGAAAATTGCAAGTTCAAGCCTTCCCTGGGCAACACAGCAAGATTAATCAGACACTGTCTCAAAAAAAAAAAAAAAAAAAAAAATTAAAAGGACTGGTGATAAAGCTCAATGAAAAAGCCCTAGGTTCAATCTCCAGTACAGAAAAGAAAAAAATAATCACTTTCCTGTCACTAGGATGAACCACCTAACACCTATAAAAGAGGAGAAAACCATCAGTTAAATCTACAGTGGGTGGTGAGCAGGCTTCAAGACAGAAACAACATGGTGGAGGGTGATGCGGAGCACAGCTGATGGGTAGGGCAACCAGGAAGCAGACAGAATAGGGGGAGCCTCTGCAAGGTCATACTCCCAGCAGCCCACCAACCAGGCTCCACCCCCTAAGAGCACCATCAGGCATAAATTCATCAATGGATGGATCCCATGATCCAATCACCTTCCAAAAGCCCCACCCCTGACCACATGAGCATTTGGGGGGACATTTGGAGCTAAATCATAAAACTATCTTACTGTCAAATATATTTAGAAGTAAAAGGAATTATATTAAGCTTAACTTAAGAATGTACAATCTAAACATAGCAACCAAGAGATAGGAATTTTTTTTTTGGTCTTTTTGAGACAGGGTCTCGCTATGCAGTTCAGGCTGACCTTGAGCTCACTCTGTAGCCTAGGCTGGTCTCGAACTCGCAAGGATCCCCCTGCCTCAGCCTTCCAAGTGCTAGGATTACAGGCGTGAGCCACCACGCCTGGCGAGATAGAATTCTTATTTGATCAGACATATTCTCTTAAAAAAAAGCTGGACAGGCACAATATGAATGCTGCTTACATTACCTACATAGTCATATGCATCATACCTCAACAATGCCTGATTCTTGCTTTTGCTGGAGCTTTTTTCTCCACCTCATTGCTGCAAGCGCTAGTCTTCGCTGTTGAACGCTGATGCCAGTCAAAACCTCAAGTATGGAGCTGCTTCCCCATTCATACTCTTCTTCCTGGAGAATTAGTCCAGTAAGTGTTGGAGTCCCCACATTAAATGGAGCCACTGAGATACATACAGGTTTTTGCCCTCAGGGAACCTTCAATAAGATGAAAGCTATAAATTCAGTTGTAACAAGAGAGTACCATAAATAGTAAGCATAAAAATATTTAACCAGGTGCGGTGGCACATGCCTGTAATCTCAGAACTTGGGAGGCTGAGGCAGGAGATCACTGTTGAGTTCATGTCCAGCCTGAACTACAAAATGAGACCCTGTCTCAAAAAAACAAAAAACGCTATACTATTTAATGAGCAAACGTTTTGTAACATGGAATAGATATATATTAAGTTAGTCAAGTACACCTGCCCTTTTCTTTTTTTTTTTTTTTTTTCTTTCTTCTTTTTGAGACAGGGTCTGAAACTGTAGTGCAGCCTAGCCTGGGACTCCCAATCATCCTGCCTTAGACACCCGAGTGTTAGGGTTATGGGCACGCACCACCATGCCCAGCTCCTCACCAAACTTTCAATATATATAAACCAGAAAGATACTGCATATAATTCTAGAAACATATGGCAACTATGCTTTGGTAGTTGGTGATATTTAGGTAACCAGCCTTTATCTGCTACAAGACTGACCTTGCGAAAGGACATCAATGGAGGCAAGTAGAACTCAGTTATCTGGCTACAGGAAAGATCTCTATATTCAATCCCTCACTGAAAACTTCAAAACCTACATGAGTGGCCAAGTGTGGTGGCACATAACTGTAGTTTCAGCACTTGAGAGGCTGAGGCAGGAGGATCATAAGTTTGTAGGTAGCCTGGGTTACACAGCAAGATATTGTCTCCAAAACCCAAAACAATACAAAACAAAGCATGGTAGATACACAGCTATGTTTACAATAATTACAATAATCAGTTTATAGTAAGTCAGTTTACAATAATTAGATTAATATTTAATGGGTTAAAAGTAAAGATAAAAGATTACGATGAGACAATCTGGAAACTTTTTTTCCCTTTTGTGATAGGGTCGTGATATGTAACTCAAGCTAGGCTTGAACTTACTACGTAGCCCATACTGGCCTTAAACTTGCGAAGATCTTCCTGCCTCACCCTCTTGAGTACTGGGATTACAAGCATGCACCGCCACACCTGGCTGAAACTTTTTCTTATTAAAAGAATGTTATTTCAATTAAAAACCACTAACATTCCAATTAAGTAACTTAAAAAGTGGGTTAAAAACCTGACTCACTCTGTAAACTGTTTTTTCTTACTTTGTGACTGACACTCTCAGAAGGTTGGTATAGTCCATGCAGGGATCGCCGAGACACACTTTAACCCTTCTCATGAATGTGAACACACACCTGCACGAAGTGGCCAGCGGTCCGGCATGCTTCCAGGTAGGAGCGGTGAAGCACCCACTTCCCAGCCGCCACAGAAGCTAAGTACTTCTCATTTCGCAGTGGATGTCCCACAACAATGTGTGTACAGCTGGGGTCGAAGCACTGCTTCTCCATCACTAACCCACCTTAGGTACAGAAAAACTGGTTACACTTCACTGAGTCTTCACAGAAAAAATGCAATCTTAACTATCCATACACATTACTTATAAACAAAAAGCAGTGATTTAAATAAAAAACTTCACATATGTATATATGTTAAAATGTTTAAACTTTTAAATAAAAAGTAGACAAAGTAGTAAAATGAACCCATACACTAGTTACCTAGAGTGTAAATTACTAAAACTTTACAAACCACTCTTCTCTCTATTCTGTAGTTTAGCAATAAAATCCAGGGCCTCACACCCGTTAGCAAGTGCTCTATCATTAAGCTACATATCCAGGCCTAAGATTTTTCATGTTTTATTGCGCCATGTTAAGCTACCAGCTTATGCTGCCACACTGTGATGTTTCTGACTCTGTACAGCTACTGCACAGGTGTATAATGCAACACCTGTGGCAATCAAACACCTGAGGCACTGCTAATCCTAATGGAGATGTGCTGTTAATACGCATCAAGTTTCAAAATAGCACAAAAATAGCACAAAAAACTTTGGAACGTAATACTGATTATATACTGAAAATATCTTGCATACTATATAAAAAATAAAATACCGTACATGTTTAAAGTTGACTTCCACTGTATATTTTTACTTTTTAAAATGTAGCTACTAGAGATTGTAAAATGGCAGAATGGCTCATGTCCTACTCCTAGGGGACAGTACTGTGACAGCACATTAGTTCACACTTCCAGTCTGTGCTGTAGCTGCAGGTGGAGAGCCTGAACACTAGGGCCAAGGGTCACTTTACAAAGAAGGCATTCTGCTCTGGAGGTCATAAAAACGTGGTTTTACTGTAAGCCTATAATTTCACTGATTTTGCTCTGATACATGAAACTCTTAAACCTTAAATGTTAGTTTCAATTGAAATCTCTGAAGTCCCATGACCTAGTGACTTCAGATTTAGAATGGAGTTCATAAAGTCAAAGCTTAGATAAATACCCATATTTTTTTTCTCAATTTCCACACCTTACAATTGGTATTGATATTGACTATATTTAACTTCCAAATAAGATTATATAATGAGCCACTTTTAGGTAAAATACTGGTACCTAGTTTTTCAATCAGATGACAATAATCAATACGTTCTTGAGGATTCAGAGATGACAACTGAAATATGTACTGTTTTTTTAATTCTTCATGAGTCTCCTCTATTGTTACAACCTAGAAAGGAAGAGTTTTTTTAAGAAAAAAATGAACATGAAAAAGTTATCAGGTAGTTGTGACATTTTAGTCATTTTCTGAATTATCAAATACACAAATACCACAATGAAAAGAAATGCTTTTCATCATTTGATGCACCTTTGAGAGCAACAAATTTCTCCTACATCATAAGAGCAATATTCAAGGCTGCATCAGATTAACAAGGGTCAACGTACCTTTTCTTTAGGGTGTGGAGCCACTGGTGGGTTGGCCAAGGGGAAGGCAATACTTGGGGCCTGAGGTGTAGGGATCAAGTGATCATCCTTTGCTGGAGTTTCCATTTCCTCAGAGGTTGGATGTTTTGGGGCTTCAGTCTCACATTTGTTTCCAGGGTCACAGACAGCTGAGGGCAGTAAAATGCTGCACTATGATATTGTCCAAATACAACTAAGAACAAACCCCAACGTATGTTCTCACCTGTCTCATGTAAGATGAAATTAAACACAAATTCTGCAATGTAAAAAGTACATGCAAAAGAAGTATCCTGTCTAAGATCTAAATGGTAAAACAGAAATAGTCTGCTGGAAGATAAAATAGGTACAACTCCTGAAAGACACAGGCATAGGCAACGCCGTTCCAAACAGAACTCCAGTGGAGCAAGAAATAATACTAAGAATCAAGAAATGGAGTCATGTCAAATTAAAAAGCTTCACTGCAAAAGAAACAATCAACGAAGTAAAGAACTTATAGGATGGGGGGAAAAAAATTGCCAGCTACTCCTCAGACAGGAGACTAACCTCTAGAACATATAAAGAATTCAAAAAAGATCCCCCTAAAATAAAAGACCTAATAAAAAAATAGGCAACCAAAATGAACAAAATTCTCTGAAGAAGTACAAATGACCTGTAAATACATGAAAAAATGTTCCACTTTGCTGGCCCTTATAGAAATGCAAATTAACACTGAAATATCCTCTTACACCAGAAAGAATGGTGATCATCAAGAGATCAAATAACAAATGCTAATGAGGCAGCAGAAAAAGAAACCATCCTGTATCATTGGTAAAAATTAAACTAGTTCACCTACTATGGAGATTCCTCAAAAAACTAGAAACAGAAATTCCACTGGACCCAAGTATTCCCTTATAGAAATTTTCCAGAAATAGATAAAATAATATTACAGTGACACATGCATATCCATGTTTATAGCAGCACAATGTCATAATAGCTAAATCTTGGACACTGTCTATATGTCCATCAATAGATGAATGGATAAAATGTGGTATTTATACACAACGGGTATATTATACTCTGCCATAAAAGCTATCTTGAGGCATTTGTAGGCAAAAGGATGCACCTTGAGAACATGTTAAATGAAATAAATCTAGGCACGTAAGTTTAAATATCACATGACTTCTCTTATATGAGAAACCCAAACTATAAATAAAGGTTAGCTAACACGAAGTAGGGAGATCTTTTTCAAATGGGGAGAAGACCAAAAGATGGAGGGAAGGAAAGGAAAAGTGACTGAAGAACATAGAAGACTAAATTGGAAACAGAGCTTTTTCAAATGCAAAGAGTAGGAGCTGGAGGCAACAGAGGAAGGGGTAGGGAAAGGGACAAAAAAGAATTCCAATGTGTTCTGTACAAGTACAAACTCCCTACAATAAAAGTACTCATTATGTACTGTAATCAGGTACTAATTTTTTTGTCTTTTTCCTTTTTTTTTTTATCGGTACCAGGGATCGAACTCACGACTGCCTGCTTGCAAGGCAGGTGCTTAGGCCACTGAGCTAAATCCCTAGCCCCCTGGTACTAATTTTTAAAAAATGAACAAAAAAGCAAAAACAAGAAAGTCTCCTATTTCTAGAGCTTACATGTACACACAATATAGTTTTAAAATGACAGATGTGTTACCAGTGGTTTTCTAATCCTTTCTTTAATTGCTAAGCTTTCATCAGTAAAGTATAATCCAAATTTGTAAAAGCAATTCTTCACTTGGAGAAAATGAGAGGTAGAGACAAGTCTATATATCTAGTGTAGGAAAATAATCATACTATGTGAAAAAGAAGAAACAGTGAAGATGACAGAAAGCATGTTTTCAAGGTAAAGTTTGTGGAAGGGCGCTGGGTTCTGTCCTCACTCAGCATCACTCAAAGCACACGGGGGAGGAGGGGATAGAACACCAACACACAATCACAATTCAGGAAAAAAAAGATACAAGAATTCAGAAAGCATCTCGTAATATCCAAAGAAGAAATGTAAGTACATGCTGGGTAGAACTCAAATGAGAATGAGATGACAGGGAGAGAAATAAATGCAAAAGAAGACTAGAATGAAAGAAAGAATGACAGTGCCAAACAAATGTGTGGGGGGGATCCTAATCCTAATCCTAAATCTCTAAATTTAAAGATAAAAATATATTTTTAATTTACTGATAAAGTACTTCAATTTATAAATTATTTTTCTGATTCTTAAATTTAAAATCAAATCCAAAGGATCTAGTAAGTTTTCAGACATGTTTATCTTTAAGAGGTCAACATGTACTTGATACAAACAGGTATTTGAAAGAAACAGATTTCTTTCTCATTACCTTTTTCAACAGTTTTTGAATCACATAAAGGCTCTTGAAAAGGAGACTCCTCCAGCTGTTTAACATCAGCCTGAAGCTCTGAGTACTGTGTGGAACAACTAGGCCACTGCAAATTGCTGGCCAGCCTTGCTCTCTCCTCCCTCGCTGTGGGGTCATCCCAGATGATCTGTTCATTCTGGGAGGGCTCTGTGTTAGCATCAGATGCTACTTGACGAGACTGCCTAAGGAAGAAAAGCAGCGATTTTAAATCAACAGCCACGACAAAATCCTAATGCACAGAGCTCACAAGACTGTAAAGACTGTGGTTCCCTTTCATATGCCCACCACCTGGCACAAAGTAGGCATTTGATAATATTTACTGAACAAATGGGCCCAGGGAAATGTCTTCTTTTGAAATGTCTCTTAACTTAAACATATTTTGATTGAATGTCTGTATATTTAAATGTCAAAGGGGAAGTGCAACAGCGTCAAAAAATTTTTTCTTGAGACAGGGTCTCACTATGTAGTTCAGACTAGCCTTGAGCTCATCTATATAGCTTAGGCTGGCCGTGAAAACAAAGTGATCCTCCTGCCTCAGTCTCCTGAGTGCTGTGATTACAGGTGTGCACCACCATGTCCGGCTGACAATTTCAAATTTTTAAAAAAATTCTAAAATAATTGCTGCACTAAAAATCTCCAATATTTCTTCATTACATAAAACATGGTAATGTTTAGAAAATAGTCGATGATTTGTGTATTTAATCACTTGAAATGGTAATAACTATAGTTAAATGAGAAGTTTATTGCAAAGGCTTCCTTCTCAGGTCTTTTGACCCTGCTGACCATATTTCCCAGAATCTAAGGTGCTCCTATCTCAGATTGAATTTTTTGGTATAATCGTAACAACTGCACATGAGGATGGCAAAATGCTATGTTCCTCACATTTATACATTTTTTTGTAAAAATGATTTACCAACTGACAGTGACCTGAAAGTCCTTTTGCCTCTAAAACAAAGAAGATAGACTTTTATTCCCAGCATACATTTACTTACCCTGATTTGGCACAGGACTTAAATTCTCTATAATGCTAAAACATGAACTGCAGTTTATTAAACAAAAGCCACTACACTCAGCACTAAGATAAAGAATTGACCTCAGCAAAAGAAAACCAGTAGTTCATTTAATCACTAGAAGAAATAATCCCCTAGCAGTACACAATTAGAGAATTTTCCTTTATCAGATAGTTATGTTTCTGTACTTAAAACACATGAATTTTTTATCACACTTCATCAAGACACTAATGAAAGACGACTTGCGGAACTGCTTTAGAAAGCGCCAAGAACAATTGGTAAATATGTTCAAGAACTGCAACCACTTCTAGAAGAGATTTAGAGTACACAATACAAAGTTCCATAAGAAATAACTACTCTGTGTGTCTGTGTGTGTGTGCGCACACTCACTATTTAATACTAAAGAACAGAAAGGACTCTAAAGTCAGGTAAAATTGGTGTTAAAATCATTTCTATCTCTGAGTTTTATACAATAAAAAGTATTAATCCTGTCTTTCTGGAATCAGTGCTTGCAATGGGACAAACCTCTATGCCTGCCTCCTACCTCCAAGTAAGAACTTGGAAAATGCTAGACGCAAAGGCAAAAAAGAAGAAAATCTACTCATCTGGCCAAAACCAACTGAAGTAATGGACTATACTACTCATTGTTTGGATAAAATGAGGCCCAGTAATACAGTACTTTCACTTAACAGTCTAAACTTCCACTTTACAGCTTATTTAAAAAACAAAAAATTGCACTGACTCATAAAACTCAATCACCAGGTACCTCTCCCAATCACCTAATGTTTCTTCCATCAGTGACAGGTACGTACCTCAGTGCCTCTAGGACTCTACTCCGCCCACTTCGAGTGGAGCGAGTGCTTTCAGGGGTGGAAGAGGCACTGTTACAACCACTTCTTGACAGGGAAGTCCTCTGTCCTTGGGGTTTCACTATGGAGGTTGCAGACATTATCTCCTGCAGCTGCTTTTGGAAGTTCTCTCTCATCTCCAAGGTCTGTGTCAGAGCTTGAAACAAATATACCGATCAAGGTAAACTTTTCTTTCTGAGCATGTCTTACGTTAAATATTTTGTCTATGTCTGGCTGAACACAGATTTATTGACCTGATATTTACTAAATAATTATCAAAGGGTATAGTAATGTTTTAAGACTAGGAACTACACAGAATACAAAGCAGTCCTTACCGCAACACTGTACGTGAAATAACTTGGAACACTTTATAAAGTTCTGTAGAGCTCCCTGTCTGCTTCTGACCCAGTCTTACAGTGTGCCACACTCTAAGATACAACACAGTGATCTGTGTACGTGCCTCAACTGCAACTATATAGTCACTGATAACACAGACTATAACATACAAACCCTCTGACTTTAATAGATGCTGAAGTAGTCGCTAACTGCTTTTAGAATAAATGGAGTAGGGTTAGGGTTAATTAACTAGCGAAGCTATAGGCAAAGCTCTGGTGGGATAGAATGAGTAAGGAAAACAGAAGACACTAATCTATTAAAGAGAGCAGCAAGATCTATAAGGTTATTAAATGCAACACTGTAATAGTAAGAAATTAAAAATAACCTATAGATGCCTATCAACAAGAGATGGCAAAATAACGCAGGGCCACCACGCAATGATAACCAGGCAATGTAAAAACACAAACACTGAAGCAGCTCCCTCTGTACAGCCACCTCTCGTTGGTGTCTGTTAAGGTGCTATGTGGCCATGATCTCTGACACTCCTGTTGCCCTTCTCCTCCTCTCTTTCCTGCCACCTCCCCATTCCTAGAGAGAGAATTTTGAAATTAGTCCAGTTAATACCCTATGCCTGTCAGTGTTCAAGTGAAAGGCAGAGTTGTACCTCTCCCTTTAAATCAAAAGCTAGACATGATTAAGCTTAGTGAGGAAATTACATAAAAGCTAAGACAGACCAATGATAAAACTTTATTGGATGGAGAGTTGCTTCTTACTGGTAATCAAAGAAAGTGATTTCTTGAGATGGAATCTAAAGAGATGCTGTAATCACTGTTGGGATAAATGATACAGAATATTCTATAAGCTCAGTGGACAAAATCACAGGCAGGGTTTGACTCTAGATGTGGAAAGAAGCCTTACTCTGCATACCACAGATAAACTTTTCATGAAAGAGTCAGTGTGGCAAATGTCTCAGTGACCACTGTGGCCCAGTCGGTTAGCAAAGGTAAGATGCTCTATCAGCAGAAAGATCATGGCTCCCTGAAGACGCAGATGGTCATTAGAATTTTCTAACAATAAAGTATTTTCTTCCTTTTAAAGTTTTTTTTTTAAGTTGCTGGGAATGAACGCAGAGTTTTGCATATGCTAAGCAAGTACTCTACCACTGAACTACATTCCCGACACACAGTATTTTTAAATTATATACATATTTTAAAAGGCATAATATTATTGCACATTTAAGAGATTTTTCATATGTACTGAAAAGCCAAAAATCTATGTGACTGGCTTTATTGTGACATGCAGTGTAGTCTGGAACACAGTAGTGTATCTCCAAGGTTTGCCTATACTGATATGAAACAATCCCCCAGCTGATATTAAACAAAAAGATTAAGGAACAAGGCAGCATACACAGGTGATGGGGATGTAACTCAGTGGTGCTTACCTAGCACACATAAGACCCCGGGTTTGATCCCAAAGCATCACAGAAATAAAAGACAGTGTATGTTAGTTCACATTTCACTTGTTTTTTAAAAGATGGGAAAAGAGAAAACATATATAGTGTATATATAATTGTATATGCATAAAACAGCTCTAGAAGATAACAAATTATTAACCCTGGGAAACAAGAGTGAGAGAAACTTCATACTTCCTTCTGTATCTTTAAATTTATGTCATTATGTTAATAAATTTAAGACATTAACACCTATCTTTAATGGAATAGAGCTGTATCACACCAACTCTACAAAATACCTAGTCCTGTAAGTTTCCTAAGTATCACTCTTAAATCATTTAAAATTTTACAAATTACTACTTAATAACTGCCATAGAATCCAGAATCAATCCTCTGTATACACTTTACTAGTGTTTAGCAACATAGCTAATTTTATTTTTTCCATCTAATATAAAGAAGTATTTTGTATACGAGACAAACATTTATACAAATATTTCTTTTTGCAATTGAAAAACTTTACCTCCTTTAGAATCATTCCTTCCACTTCCATCTGACAGTGTAGATTCTTTGTTACTAGTAGTCATATTGTCTGCATCATTTTCTTCTATAGGCAAATGATCTAGCTATTCAAAAAGAAAAATTGTAACTCCTCAGATGAAGCAGTAAGCTCTCACAGCAATCTAGGATTACATATGGTGCTTAGGGAGAGGCATGCTGTCCACATCACTTACCTCACTGGCCTTTATTGTGGAAACAGCTGGAAGCACCTGACCATTGCAGAGCCGGTCATCCTGCACTGCGCTGATGTCCAGGCTCATTTTGGGATTGTAAGTATGAGGATAAAGGGATTCGGGAAGATGTTTGTATTCCTGGGCACACTGAAATACAATGATGTGCTTTAAAACAGGACTGAACAAAACTTGAGCAAATGAATGATGTTAAACAGGATACTTAAGGACAGTCAATAGAGTATATTACAAAATGACAGAGTTACAAAGTTTTAAGAATTTTAGTTTACAGTGAAAATTTCTATGAAATTTTTAAATTATAAAATTTCTATGAAATTTTTAATTTATAAAATTTCCATTCATACCATTTTTAATTATTGAAAGGAATCAAAGTCAGAAAGAGGACCCATTAAAGGTCTGTTAACTATTTAAAGATTTTAAGAATTAAATGTAACCTGGGTGTGGTGGTACACACCTGCGATCTCAGCTACCTGAGAGGCTGAGGCAGAAAGACTACAAGGCCAAGTGCAGTCTTAGACCCAGTGTCAAATAAAATTCAAAAGAGCTGGGGATGTAGGGGGGCAATCCTTGGGTTGAATCCCCAGTACTGACGGGGAAAAAAAAGAACTGAAAAGAAAAAGAAATGTGAACTGTGATATGGTTTAGAGCTTTATCATCCTCCAAAAGCCCAGAGTTGAGGCTTAGTGGGAAGTGTGCGGGGACAGGCCCTGGAAGGGACTGTATACACTATACCCCTTTTCCTCCTTTACTTTCCAGCCACGAAGTAAGTGCTCTAGCGTGTGCTCTTGCCATGGGGTGCCTACACTGCTTTACATACACCGACGTGGCCTGTGTTGAAATGTGTATACATTTCCAATGGGAGAGGAGGGGTGGGGGTGAGGGGACACTGCTTACTTCTAGAAGCCAGTGCTCTGAAACAATGTGTACTCCTCTTTCTTTCACAGATTTATACTCTCGACTGCTATCATTTGGCCGGCCTTGATAGATGAAATGTGTCACTGTCTCATCAAAACTCCACCTGAAATAACCAAATACAAGAAAATGAATAAGTAAGAGAAACACTCACACTGGTTAAGATGATCACTATTCACTATGAACAGAATATTCTGACCTACACAAAACTTTCAGAATTAAGAGTAAGCAAGACGATAAGACTCTCACTGGCAAATTTTACATCTCGACGTACCCAAATGCAGAGGTCTTTTTATGGTTTATGTCACTCAAAGCCTCATGAACTAGCAGGTGGGGCTTTGGGAGATGAATGCATCACAGGGCATAACTCACTGGTGGATTAGTCCCGCCATGAGCTAGTTTACTGCTATCTGTGCAGGTCCGAGGCGGGGCATGATCTGAGGGGTGTGTCTCCCCCTCTGCAGCTCGCCCCCTTTCCTCTCTGCTCCCTGGCTGTAACAGTGTGAGCAGCTGACCTTCGCCAGAGCTTTCCACCATGCTGCTTCCGGCCTGGAATCGGGGGCTACAGACTACACTATCAACTGGGAGCTAAAACAAACCTCTCCTGCTTTCAGCTGCAGATGTGGGCTATGGTGCCCAAAGGACAACATGACTGGACACATTTCGAAGAATATTCTTTCTTTACGTGTTCAAAACTGTTTCAGGATCCTTCCCTAATGTGTACCACTTTGTAGTAAAGGAAAGTAGTAACATGTTGCAAAGCATCCAAACCCGTCCTCGAGTGGCTGGTTATCACTACGCACTACACATTTGTTCTCTGTCCCACAGCAGGTGATGTATGCCCCCCATCGTCCGTCACCTCATTCACTCCTCACCAAAGCCTGAGCACTGCACCCCATTCATTTCATAGCTAACGAACTGAGGAACATGGTAGGGAATCTGCTGAAGATATGCAGTACGCAGCAAGGCCAAATGTGACTTCAAAACCCATGCTGCTAACTCAGTATGCTAAAAATCTCCTGATTCTTCTCCTGAGATATTCAGGAAAACAGCCTGAAAAATGTAAAATATACCATCTTTCCAAAGCTCAAGTAAAAATGAAAGAGAAATAAGAGTTATAATTCTAGCTGGGCGTGGTGGTGCACACCTATCCTAGCACTCGGGAAGATGAGGCAGGAGGATCACCACAAAGTGAAGGCCAGCCTTGGCTACACAGTGGATTCAAGGCCAGCCTATACTACCTAGTGAGACTATCTCAAAAACAAACAAACAAAAGGCGTTTCCAAATATAATTACCAAAATAACTCTTGTGGACATTTTTCCATTTCTCAAATAACAAATATCCCTGAATCTTTCACACAGGCAAAAGTTAAGCAAATTAAAAGCAGTATTACAAGCATCTAAATTATAAGCATCTCTATTTTTCATTGCTCCGTGCATCCTTAAAAAACATTAAAAATGGGCTAGGGATATAGGTGGCACAGCACCTGCCTGGCAAGGTCCTGAATTCGATTTCTGGTATCCCCCCAAAAACACCAAAAATATACCCTGCCTAATTCATTAGTGCTAATAACTATCTCTAATTGCTGTCAAGGTAAATCACAGTATTTAAATATCAAGTACTTTGATATTTCCTTTAAATAGTTAAATGAAGCTTTAAAAAAAATTTTTTTTCTTAAAAAGTTGTTGTTTGAGACAGAATCTCACTATATAGCCTAAGCTGGCCTTAAACTCACTATGTAGCTTAGGCTTACTTCAAACTCATAGCAATCCTCCTGCCTCAGCCTCCATAGAGCTGGGAGTGCAAGTTTGTGCCACCATATCCGGCAAGTTTAAACATATTAAATATCCAGATAATTCAGAAAAATAGAGGAGCTTTTACTTGAATCAACTTGATTCACCTTTAATGTCACTGTGATATTAACACAGAAACTGTGACTTTCGGTCCTCTGAAGTCCTTTACCAGTAGCTGTAGATGGTACAGATCATGGATGGGCAAATTTTCTTACAGGCGAGATATGAATGCCTTGGGCCCTACAGGTCAATTTCTTCTACAACTACTCAACTTTTGCCTTGTTAGATGAAAGCAGTCAAAAACAATCATAACAATGGTCAGCCCACTGACTCTGATCCAGGTAAGTGCTTTTACCAACTGTGCTTTGGAATTTCTTTTACTCACTATGAAGCCCAGGCTAACCTCAAACTTGCAGTAATCCTCCTACTTCAGCTTCCCAAGTGCTGGCATTACAGGCAAGTACCACCACGCCTGGCATTTTCAACTACCACTTTGTTCCAAGAGGTACTGTGGCAATTTGTGGGGGCTGACTGTTTGCTGAAATGTGTTCATCTTCTCCACTATTGGTGGGAATAGACTAATGCAACCACTGCGGAAATCACAGACGATTCCTCAAAAAACAACTAGGACTAGAGGTTCCATTTGACTCAGCTATTCCTCTTGTTGGTATCTCCCCAAAAGAATTAAAAGCATCATACTACAGCAGCATGTGGATACCCAGTGGTATATTTTATAAAAGTCAAATCTTGGAAACAGCCCAACTACCCATCAACTGGTGAATGGATAAAGATGTGGTTTTTTTCTACAATGGAGTACTACTCTGCCATAAAGAAGGATAAACTTGAGACACTCTGAGACCACACTCATGTGTAAAATACATTGGATATGTAAATACCATGTAAATACCGTGTTATTTCTTTGGTGTGAGAAACCAGGACCAAAATGTATACTAAGTATTATGAAATAGAAAGAAAATGAGGAGGGGAACAAGAGAGGCAGAAGGGAAAAAGGAAAGGGAAAAGTAAAACAAATGAGAAAAGAAGAAAAGAATCAAGTTAAATCATGTACGGGTACAAATTTTCTATGATGAATGTGATCATTATGTATATCTAAAATATACCAAGAAAACCTGATTGGAAAAGAAACAAACAATGTGTTCATACACTGGAGGGTGCTACACTATGTGGTAAGGTCCAGGGGTACCAAAAATTCTAAGGAACAGTCATGCAAGTATCCCACATTCTACATGGTTTTCTAATGTCCTATAACAAAACTATGTAGAAATAGATAGTATCAGATAATCTCTTCAAGACAGTCTGGTCCTAGATCCTGGAAGGGCATGCTTAGGATACCATTTTTGTTTTTTTGTTTTTTTTTGCTACCAGGGATCGAACTCACGACCACACACTTGCAAGGCAGGTGCTTATGCTACTGAGCTAAATCCCTGGCCCTAGGACACTTTTATTTGAGAATGGATTATCCAAGCAAACACATAAATATTGTAACCCTGAATATTAAAAGGTTGCCTTTTAACATCTACTACATTTGAGAAATCTATTTCAAGAATAGACTTTTTATTTTGTTTCGGTGGTACTGGGAATCAAACCCAGGGGCACTCTACACCGAGACACATCATTTTTGAGAGAGTTTCGCTAAGTTCCTCGGGCTTATCTCAAACTTCTGATCCTTCTGCCTTGACCGCCTCAGCAGCTAGGACTGCAGACATGCCATCCTGCTTGGCTTTCAAAAAAAATTTAATGCAAACTTTAATATAATTGAACAGTTAAATTCTACTTAGGAATTACAACAAAAAATTTATTTTTTTAATACTAAAAGGACTGGGGCATTTAAAATCTTATGAAACACATCCTCCAGAGGGTTACTATGAAAAAGAAAAAAGATAATGCTCAGCCACCCATAATAAAAATGTAGTGATAAGTAACTACACAATTATGGATACTACAAATAGATAATATAAATAAGATCACTAGCCCACAACATAAGCATTAAACACAAATGCTTGTAAGTATTATGGATTAATTTTATTGCTATATTCTCCTGGCCCAATTTCTTTATCAAGTAGATAACTAACTGAAATAAAATCAAAGGGGAAGATAAAAAACTAAGTATTTCTTAAACTCTCAGCTATAAAGCCAACCACTACCTATGGACAGCTGGACACTAGCGATCAACAGAGAGAGAAAGCAAGTCTCTCCCAACCTCTAACTAGGGAGCATCTCTAGCTTCCGCTCTCCAGTTAACAGTAGAGCCAACAGACTAGGTCATTAAGTCTTAAAAATGACACAAATTAGCCAGGGGCACCGACAGTTGCAACTGTTAAAAAGACTGAGGCAGCATCTGAATATCACAGCAAGACCCTGTGTCTGTCTGTCTGACTTTCCGCAGTGCTGGGCATGGAACCTAGAGCCTCATGAAAAGTAGGCAAGTGCCCTATCACTGAGCTACATCATCGGCTCAAACCCTTCTCTAAAGGGAAAAAAAAAAGATACAAATTAAACCATGCTGAAAACAGACCATCTTCATTGAGAAGGGCCCTGGAGTACCTGGTAGTACACAGAGAGCAGCTCTAAGCTGAAAATCATTAATGTAAAAATAAGCTTAATCTCAGTCCCGGTGGATTACTGGACTAGAAACTCTAAATACAGGAACTGTGAACTCTACCTATCATTCATGAATCCCAAGTGGAACAAACAGGTTCTCAAATATTTGCTAAACATACCCTAAGATACACATAGACGAATGGATAAATCAAAGGGCATTTTCAAAGGATACGGTAAGTTAAACTGGACTGGAGAGATTTTACTGACAGCATTACAAATTAAAAGGCAAAAGTACATGCACCCTTGGGAATGCCCACAGTGACTCCGGGCTTACCTGTAATCGGCCCCCAGAGAGGCGGCGATGCCATTGAGCTCACTCTGCTTCTTCCCCAGCTTTTTACTCACACACACCACGGCCTTGTGCAGTGGCTTCCGAGCTTCCTCCTGGGAACAAAGCCAAAAACGAAAAGCAAAACAGATCAGACGCTGTTGTTTGGAGTGTTTTAACTAAGATTTCCTTTCTACACAGTAAGAGATCGCATCTACCTTTTCTGTCTGGGTATTCTTCAGTTGAGGGCTGGCAGAAAGAGCAACAGCATTTCGAGAGCTGTTCGCCACAGCAAGTTTCAGATTCCTGACAATGACTTCAGAGAGCGGCGGACTCAGGTTCCTCTTCTGTTTGCTGGGACCTCCTGGTGTTTCCAAGGCTGCAAGTGCATCCTATGTATTTGAAAGAGAAGAAAAGTTGGTGGGAAGGGGTAGAGGTGGTGAAGGAGAAAAGGGAGAAAGGAGGGAGAGAAGGCAGCAGATAAGAAAGGAAAGGGAAGGGATGGTCAAGGCCACAAAAACAGGAGGAACTCCTCAAAATTAATGTTACAGAGTTAATCACCTCGTTTTCACCCAAACAACAAACAGAATAAATTATAACTTATACCTGTATATGATGAAGAAAAAATAAACCCCTACTGTTCATGCCACATTTACCCGAATCTTCAAAGTTAAAGGAACAGTTAAAATAAAGGACACAAAAACAATATACAGCACGAAACACACAAAGATGTATATAAATAATACATTATAAGTCAAGAGAGTCAGATTCAGCTGAGACTTGTGAAAAATCTTCAACTGTGTAAAATATTTTCCTGTTCCCAAAGCACCCACGGGCCCCTCCTCAGAGAAGCCACTGCCCAAGTGGCTGCCTATTATCTTCACATCTACACATACGTGCCTCCCACACACCAGAACACATTTAATCTGCTCCCAATAATGAAGTTTAGAGTAATAATGTTTTGCTGGTATGCCGATGCAACAAATACATGCATACCATTTTGCATATCATAGAATAAAGGAAACCTTTTAAGCCAAACATTATGTACCAACACTGACATTCTCATGAGCAAAATAGGAGTTTCTCTACACATGATAGCATGGGAAACAGACTTGAAGACAAAGAAACATTCACTGAAATAAGGGCATTTTATAACACAAAAACCTGCATTCTGACTGACATTATGTTGAGTATTAGTGCACCAATTAACACAGTAACTGCTTAAAAAAACCCTGTGAGCAATCAAGAGAAAGAGAATCACATCAGTAAGAAACGTTAAAACAAGGTAGGTGAATTGGACAAAAAAAATTAAATATTTAAGCAATGTAAACAATAAATCAGATCTTTGGATATACACGGGGTGATCAACAGTGTGTTTAAATTAGAAAAACTGTATAATAATAAACCATACCCTGCCGCTGATGATCACTACCCCCAACATTCCCCCTGGCTCTCACACCCTCTTGGCCCACCCTTTCTGAGGCAGTGCTGGAAGGCCTCTTCCACATACCCAAAAATAAGGTGACTGCAGCCATCGCGTGCCATCCAACAGAAGTCAGACTCACAAAAACACGGTGGGCATGACTGCCTACCCTGTTCACTGGACCTGACACATGACCTCTGGTTCCGCCTCAAAGTTAATGACCACAAAAGGTAAATGTTTTAAGCAATTTAGAAAATTAAGGCAGCCATAAAAGCACAGCTACAGATACTCACAAAAGAGGAATTCTGGAACTTCAGAAAGGGGCAAAAACGATGGGAAAAGTGTGTCTGAAGCAGAGAATTTTGAGGGGGATTCATGACAATGTGTATTTTCCTGTAATAAACTTTTTAAAACTTTAAACACTCATCATACTTTTCAATCACACCTGATATACTTTTTCGGACATACACCAAACATTATACCCTCAGGTAGACATTATAACATCTTCTCAAAGAATGTTCTTTGAACAGTTCATCAACTATCAGAGCATAAAACATTGTAAGTTCTGTCAAGTAAAAACAGTATAATGCTCTAAGTATAATGCAACAGAACTAAAAATTAAAAAACAAAGAAGTCCTTTGAGATGAAAATTAGAAGACTAATGAAAACACTACACGTTTAAAGAGGACAGTACATGAGTATTTTATTCCACTTTACTTTTATAATTTTTTAGTTAAAATTGTTTCCAAGTAAAAAGTCAGAAAATAACTGATACAGTATTAACAGTGTGCAAGGATGACCACTAGATACTCTTAATAAACCTATAGTGGAGGCATCACCTAGTATTTGGGGGGCAAACAGTTTTTAATTTTCTATTAACAGGAAACTATAACCCAGTAACTTCCTATCTAGGTATACATCAAACTACACATGCATACGTAAGACATGGAAAATGTTCGGAGTGACATAATTTTATAAGAATAAAAACCTGCTAACCACCTAAATGCTCATCCCCTGTATAGTAACAGAAATGCTAAGTTGTGTACATCCATATAACTAAGTAAGTAACATAGTCACAACATGGACACATGACACAACATGGACAAATACCTACATGAGAGAGAACAGAAACAACACAGCAGACTCAATATGTATGCTGCCATTTAAAGTCAGAAATAAGTATAATGAAACTATAGTGTGAGAAGCAAGTGTCACCTCTTATGAAAGAGGGAGAAAGCAATAGTGAGAAAAAAGCAAAATGGATTCCCAACACTGCTATTCAATTAGTAATATACTTACTGTTGTTTTTTTTCATTTTGTTTGCTGTAATGAGGGCTGAACCCAGGATCTTTACATTGAGCTACCCCGCCAGCCCCCAGCCCTCAGCCCTTTTAATTTTGAAAGAGGGTCTCACTAAGTTGCTAAATTGTCCCAGGCTGAGTTTGAGCTTGTAATTCTATCTCAGCCTCCCAGAGTGATGAGATTACAGAACCAGGCCCAGCATTAATGTGTGCCAGAGAAAAAATTAATTTTAAGAGGTAATTTTTTATTTTTGAGGCCCAAAAAATGGATAATTCTGTGATCATTCCAGGGTCACATCTACATTTTAAGTAAAGAATTCAATATACCATAGCACATCAGTTTGACAAACCAATGATTATAACTGAAAACTTTACATACTACCACAAATGAGAAAAAGGCAGGAGAGGAGATTCTGTACAATAAACTAGAATTCTAAACAAATCTTTAAATGTGTTTTTTAGGGTTTTTGTTTGTTTTGCTTTTTGCTTTTTTTTTTTTTGCTTTCTGTAGTGAGACTACTTCACAACTATAACTTTTACTCAAGGTATCCATAAAAGAATGGTCTAAATGGCTGGAAACATTGTAACTATTTTTTCTTTTGCCTACTATCTCATGTTCAAAGGGACTATGCCATGGGACTATTGAGGATTCTATCTATGATTTTACAGACAAAAATAATGGAAGGCAAAAAAGTTAACTTGTTTTAAAAGGCAACAAGAGGAAAAAAAGCCCATTCCAGAACTCACAGGTCCCAAAGCAGGGATTTCCCTTTATCTCTGAAAACAGGAGAAGCAAAAATGTTACCCTTAGTATAAAATGTTACTTCAAAAGAGATTTCATGTGCATGCTCTGAATTCTGAGTTTGTTACACTAAAGACTTTTCTCCATGTTAGTCACTGCAATTATTTAAAGATAAAGACATAAAATTAGCTTGGAAAAAGCTTTCCTGGGTATCAATAAATACTAATATTTTGAAGATGAATTACCTGTAAACTTTACAATAAGTCTGCACTAAAGCACACTAACAAAACTTATTAAAATGCTGCTTCTTAATTATGCTATTTCTAAACATCTAGAGATCAATTACTGTAATATCAATAGATCACGGGCATAGTAATTTTGTGAAGTTTCATAGATAAAGAAACCATAGGCAATGGTTTGAACAGCAACTTGAAAAGCCAAAACTTACTAAGAAAAAGTGAAGAAAATCCTCCTTGGGAAATAAAAGAAAACATTTGAAAAGGTTACATTAGCCTTTGATTTGCAAATGAATTTTTCAGGAAGGATGCCAGAACACACTACTCCATCAAACAAACAAACAGAGTCAACTCATCTCCTCTACGGGAAATGATCGAAAAGAAAGGTGAGGCTGAGGACACCTTCAGAAAGCAAGCCCTAGGTACACTCGTGGAGTCTGTGTATCCACGGGAACGTGTTCACATTATCTTTACAGCTGAAGAAATCATTTTATCACGCTCTGTAACTTGATTCTTAAAATAAACCTGTCCATTTTTAGGACAAATACTACCTTCTTTATATGAAAGAAGAAAGTGATACTCAGATAGGTTAAATGAACTGCCTAGAGAAGTGATGGCGAACCTTCTAGAACTTTCAGTTGTATAGCCCACTGTGGCACACATACAGTATGTTTGCCACCACTGGTCTAGAATTATACAATTCATAACAGATTAGGACTTAAACCAGGATGTCCTGATATCATACCATACATATGGATAGCTGCTACCTAAAACTTGAGTTCTGAATTCATTATAAGAATAAAGACTTGAGTATTCAATACTATAAACCTACCTAACATCTCCAGGAAATCTATTACAACAAACTTTGCAGAATTTGAGGCTTTTACTTTATAAACTATAAAACTGTAACCCTAGGACTACCTTTAAACCTTACCTTCACATCAAAGGAAGGCTTGAAGAGCTTGTCCTTAGACAGAAACTTTGATGGTGTGTCCAGGTGTACCGAGGGCTCCTTCTGAAGTGGCTTTCCTACTGCTGGGGCGGCAGGAGCCTGCCCGGTGTGCTGTGACAGCACAGTACGGAAAGCCTTGCTCTGAAAGCAGTTCATATCCAAAGGTGTGACGGCCATTTTTCTGAAAGGTTCCCTATGCATGGCAGGATGCACTGTATCTGGATTCAGAGTCTCTCCATTTGTTATTTTAGTTTCCAGTCTTTGTTCTAAGATTTAAAATGAAAGGAAACAAGTATGAGCCACTAATACCCACTTGTTTGCCTCTAAAGAAGCACACAAAAAGTGATGTTCTTATATTGCACTGGTACAGTTTTTTCTGATTCTATTTATTAAATTTACTTACTTACTTTTTTATTTTTTGAGAGAGGGACTCGCTAGGTAGTTCAACTGGCCTTAAATTCACTATGTAGCCCAGGTTGGCCTTGAACTCAGGGACCCTCCTGCCTCAGTATCCGAAGTGCTGAGATCATAGGCATGTGCCATCACACCCAGCAACCTCACTGGTAGTTTTTTATGTCAAGTCTCAGAATATGTTACACCACAAAGTTATACTCCTAGTCTTTCAGGAAGAAGCCAGGTAATGTGTCGAAATACACACTGCATTGGAAAAGCATTAACTAAAACAAAAGATAAACAGAACTTCCTATTTTGTTGAACACTACAATCTTCTCAATAAACCCACTTGCCATAATTGCATCAGTAAATGTCAATTTAGTCAATGGAAGAATTTTTAAAAAATTGGGATATAGCTAAGTAGCAGAGCCTAGCATGAGCCAGGCTCTGGGTTCCATCTCCTATATTACAAAGAACAAAAAGAACAAACATGTCAACTACAGTCAAGTTTTTGGAAAGTCCACCAAGAAATTTTAATATGACCTACACTTTACTTGTGTGTCCATCATAAATTCTCATTCTAGTTGGTACATACCTAATAGCTCTGAGAAGTGTTCCCAAGCTACTGAGCTGTCCTTTAAGCTTGCCCACGACGTCATTACCTAGAGGTCATCTGTGTCATCCCCCTGCCTCTTTTCACCTTTTCTCACAACTGAATATAAGAATGAAACCTTCTAAATGACTACTCCATGCTAGACCTGATGCTACAGAATGGAAATACAGAATCACAGGACATGCATGTGCCTTGCTTTTACAGAGCTTACAGTTCAGTGAAGAGACACAAAAGTACTGGCAAAAGAATCACCTAAGAGCAAAACAAAATGTTTTGGTGTGGATTTTTTTTTTTTTTTTTTTTTTTTTGTCTTTTGGAGACAGGATCTCACACTATTTAATTCAGGCTGAACTTGAGTTCACTTTGTAGCCCAGGCTGGCCTGAACTCACAGAGATCCTCCTGCCTCAGTCTCTGAAGTGCTGGAATTACAGGCATGTGCCACTACATCCAGCAAAACAAAGTTTTGGCACAACTAAGGTAGTGCTTCCCTGGGGGCTCAATCACCAGCACTGCAAAAAAAAAAAAAAACACGAAAGAGCCAGTGACCATGAAATGGTTTCAATATAATATACAAAAGCCCAAAGAAAAGTAGGAAAAGAGAGCACATTTAAATGGTAAGCACATATCACAGAAGGAATGAACAGTAAAGAGGACAAAAGCTCACACCCCTTTCATCCTCAAACTCCAAGAACCTCCAACATTCCTGACACTGGTTTGCACCCACTAGCTTTCAGATAGTACTTATGGTTGACAGTACAATACAAATTACGCACTTGTGGTACAGATACACATTCATTTTGCCATCCAGTATCAACTGCTCATTAGTGATTTACTGCACCCAAAATGAAAGGCAGAAATAAACAATCTTTTCTAAAGCAAGCTTTGGAACATGCATATCTCAAGTATCAACTAATAAAGTGCATATATGGAATAAAATAAAATAACCTTCTGTAGATGAATTTTCAATCAGAAAATGGCTTTCATCTGCTCTCTTTCCCATCTTAGCAGTTTCCAACAGCCAGGTGATAGTGACTGCAGGTAAATTCCACTTCTTTGCAGCTTCATATTTAGAACCAACTGGTTCTTTCAGTATAAGATGTGTACTAGCAAGCATGCCTTTCTTTGTGTTGGATTTGCGAACAAAGTACTCTTGAACACTGAAATTTATATTTAAAGAAAAGCAAATAGTCATACATACAATTATCCAGTAAACTAAGAACAAAGTTTTTAAGTTACTTAAGTCTGAGAAAACATACTGAGTAAAAATTGGCAAGTTCTATATGAAATTAGGTGAGTCTCCTTACAAGGACTTACTCTTAGAATAAAAATACAATGCTATACCAATTAAACTTCCTACAAACATAAAGTTAGACTCTTAAGACAAAGCACAGTATTAGTCATTAATAGGTCATTAACAACCTTTTTTTTTGAACCGGGGATCAAATTCACAACCTCACACTTGCCACTGAGCTCCATCTGCCCCCACACCCACCTTTTTCTTCCTGAAAGCAGACATGGAGCAAAGCACATAAATAACATTGTATTTTTTTCACACTGTAATTTTCCCAAATATTTTCACACATAATCTTAATTGGCTCTCTCAAGTTCATGAAATATCATGACTGCATAGAGTTGGTAAAAATATTAAGTGACTTGCCCAGGAGCCCATGATAAACAGAGAATATGGGGCAGAAGCACAAGTTCAACAGTTGGGAAGAAACAGACTTCAGTCTTTTCTAACTCCTGGACCTTACATTCTAGTTCAGGGGTGGTGAACCTGTGTATCCTGCAATAGGCTGTCTGCATTACTGCAAGCTCTAAGAGGCTCAGCATCACCATCCTAGTTCCTAACTTTTAAAGCAGTTTTTAATCTGCTAAGTCTTTCCTAGTACTTTTATAGTTCTTTTTACATTTAACCCACTGATCCCATACTTTGCTATGAAACATGGCTCCAACTTTATTGAATACTAGCCTTCTTAATCATTTGAAGTGTCATTATCATAAGATGGCTTATTAGGTTTACCACTAAAATTTGTTCATTCACTGACATTTTTATTTATGATCAGTTTTTGAGAGATTTTACATACTGCAGTGTAGTAACTGTTAGGACTAGCCCCAGTTATTCCATCTCAGGGTTTTCATGACTTTCCTGCTTACTAATCTTTCCACATAAATTTTGGAATTAGTTTGGTTTGCGTCTACCCTAAAAATACTTCAATAGCAGTCACAGCTCATCCATGGTTTCAGTGCCCCAAAGTGTAGTCTGAAAATATTAAGTAGAAAAATCCCCAAATAAACAATTCCTAGGTTTTGACCTGCGCACCAATCTGAGGAATGTGATGAAATCTCAGTCCAACTGCCCACCCAGGATGTGAATCTCTGCTTTGTCCAGCACACTCACACGGCAAATGCCACCTGCTCATCAGTCACCTGGTAGCTGGTCAGAAATCAGAGTGACTATGGAGGACCACATGCATGCTCATGCCAGAATCCAGTCAGATAATGTTTTATTATAGTTGTTACAACAGCTCTATTTTCTTGTTGTTGTTAATCTGTTTTTGTTTCTTCATTGTTGTCTGCTTGCTTTTGGAGACATGGTCCTGAGTTGTATATTCTAGGCTCCTCAATCCTCCTGCCTCAGCCTCCCACAGCTGGCTTGCTGTTAATCTCTTGCTGGGCCTAATTTACACTGCACATTTAACTTTATCCTAAGAACATACGAGTTTCAACTATCCTACAGGGGTCTGAGAATACATCCTCAAAGGATAAGGGAGGACTACTGTATTTTTTACTGGGATCATGTTAATTTTATACATTCATAAAGAGGATAAAGGTGTGATTATTTGTCTTCTTTTCCAGGAACATACAGATTCTGTCTACTGTTACAAATATGTTTTATTTTCCTTGAAAACTTTTTGCAAGTTTTCAATAGCCCTTCCAAGTTTCATATAATATGCCCTTTTCCCCCACTGGTGGTTCTACCTCGCTGTTAATATGAAGGCCATGGATTTCTGTGTATTAATTTTCTGCACTGCCACTGCACTGAATTCTTCTGAGCACTGCATTAGTTATATCCAGTGGAGTCTGATGTCACGTTTGTTGTTATTTTCTGCGATTTCAGTCTTATAAAAAATTTACTGCTCAATTAAAATACAGAACATAATACAGCTTAGCGAATAAACCCTTATATCCTCACCCTATGTCAAGACAGAACCTGCTGGCCACCTCGAATCCCTCCAGTGTGCCATACAACTGCCTTTCCTCCATCTTAATGGTAAGCATTACAATTCACCAATCACATCCTGAGTCATTTCACGTTTTAGCTTACAGGTTCCCCGCACACCTCTCTCCCTTCATGTATATTAACTGAAGACCCTGGAGTATTTATACCACAGAATTTATTTTATAAGCAATTCTAAAATCCAAGCAAGTCTAGATTTTGCTGATTTATTACTGTAAAGTAATTAAACATGTGCTTCTTATGACATTCTTCAAAATAAAAGGCTAGTTCCGAAGGTGGCCAGTTACCTTAGATTCTGCAGTACCATTGTGCAGTCATGATTTCCACATTATGTGATGTATTTTAATCCAGTGCAGTTACTACCCATTTTGTTTTTTGGTGCTGGGAACTGAACTCACAACCTCACACATGCTAGGTAAGCACTGTCCGCTGAGTGACAGCTCCAGCCCAGCAGTTACTACCTTGTAACAATACCTAAGTTTTCCTGTATTAGATAAGTGGAGATATTTTTGATATCACCCTCCTTAGTAGTCTTTGATAATATCCTTGCTCTCCAGCCTGCCAAAATGTTCCAGGTTCACTTACGTACTTTCTCCACTCAAATCTGTAATGAACCATTTGTTTAAGCTTTAGTTTTAGTGGGAAGTAACACTGCTACTATTGAGTTGGTAAATATTTCTAGGCTTATAAATGGTTCTTCTTTGAACCAAGAGCTAATAAAAAGTTTTTAATTCTTTGCATTTCCTTCCATTTTTGTCTTATGAATGATGTCACTCTGGTACATGTATGAGGCATGAACAAAATATCATGAAAAAGGACTTTTTCAGAATCTCTTTTGAAGGCAGCGTGAACAACAGGAAATGTGCTTAAAATAAAGAGTATCCTAGGGGCTGGGGATTTAGCTCAGCAGCATAAGCGCCTGCCTTGCTAGCAGGCAGTCATGAGTTTGATCCCTGGCACCGGTAAAAATACAAAAATACAAAAAAATAAATAAATAAAGAGTATCCTGAGGGGAATTATTTCTAGTAATGTATGTTTTAGTGTAATAAAAAAGCAAAAAAATTAAGACTTTTTTCAATCATAGTGTAATACATTTTATCTTCAATGTAAATAGCATTATTTGTTTTTCTTAATTACGTCTGATATAAATTCTGATTTGTCCACCATTCTTCCACAATATTGAGTCATTTTTTCATTAAAAGTAATTGAATTTTACTTTATGATCTAATCGAAAAGTATTTTACTATTAATGTAGAGCTTAATTCATATTTATTTATATTAACGGTTTTCTACTTTCATCTTGTTTTTTGTAGGGGATACTGGGGATTAAACATAAGGCCCTGTATATGCTAGTCAAATCCTCTATCACTGACCTATATCCCGAGGGTCTTCTCCCACTTCTAACATTTTGTGACAGGACCTTGCTAAACTGTCCAGACTAGTCTCAATCCTGCAATTCTCCTGCTTCAGCCTCCCAAATAACTAGGATTGTACCACATCCAGGTGCTTCTTTTTTTAAATAGCCATCATCTGTTGATAAATTAGGACTGGGCTAATACGGATTTTGGAAGTAACTTAAATTCATTTTCTTGCATTAACAGTATTCCCTGTTCCTGCTTACTACTTGCATTTCTGGCTGAAAACAAGGGAAACACTGAAAGCATACTACAAGATGAATAAAGAAGTCCATATGGTGCCCGGAAAGGGTTAGTGCTTAGATAAGCACCACTCACTAACACACATGTACCAGCATTAAACAGTCCCCTTCCTGATTGCCAAGCCAATAAATACAGCATTGAAGCACAGTTTGCTTTTTTTTTTTTTTATTTCCACAGAGGGTCTCATTATGTAGTCCAGGCTGGCCTCAAATTCATTATGTAGCCCAGGTTGATCTCAAACTTTTGATTCTCCTGCCTCGGCATCCCAAATATCAGGATCAGAAGTGCGCATCACATCTGGTCAATGCCCACAGTCTCATATGTTACCCAGACACACAGGCTCACCGCATCCTGCTCTCTGTCGCTGTGAGCCAGACACATACACTATTCTTAACTCATAAATACAATAAAATACCTGGCCAGATTCTAATTACAATGCTTTCTAGTAAAGTCAAAGCAAATTAAAAAGCACACAACAGCAGGCACACTAAAGCCGTTCCATACCTTGCTCCAAGGTGATTTGCTAAGAATATCAAAGAATCTTTCTCTGCTCCAACACACTGGCTGAATGAAATGACACAATCCTCTAAAGGAGTCATTCCTGTCATTACTGGGACTGGTGCGAAGAGAGGATTTGACTTTGGATCAACTAAAGTCTGATAGTCTATACAAGTAACCTTTTTAAAAACAAGAAAAACAGTAAAGTCAACCTAGATGAAGAAACTAATGGTTAACACTGGTTCAATTACAGTACCAATTTTAATGTAATATAAATGTATGTATGCTCATTTTCAATATAATTAAAATAACATTTAAAGAAAAATACAGACATCAATTCATTTCATTCAGATATTAAAATCACATAGATTATTGTAGTTTTTTTCAAAATCAACTGTTTCCAATGTATTAGTTTGTCATTTTTTCCACCTCTCTCTCTCTCTAAGACAGGGTCTCACCATGTAGTAGAGGCTGGCCTTGAACTTGCTATGTATTCCAGGCTGGCCTCAAACTCACAGTGATTCTACTGCACAAGCCTCTCAAGTGCTGGGATTAAAGGCATAGGCTACTATGCCCAGGTTTTCATCTTAATTCCTGACATGTTGAAAAAACGTATCTTGGTTGTGAGAAAAGATAAATAGTATGAGATGACCCAGAGTGGCTTGCTAAGGGGCAGGCATGGTGGTGCATACCTTTAATCCCTGCACTAAGGAGGCTTAGGCAGAAGGACTGCCAGGAATTCGAGGCCAGCCTGGCCTACACAATGAGTTTAAGGCCAGCCTGAATTATAGTGAGACCCTGGCTTAAAAAAAGTTTCTGCAATTTCTGGGACAGTAATCTCCACGCCACCAGGATCAGGACAAGAGGTCTATGCAATTTCATATTTTAAACATTTCCTTTGCTAAGAGCAAAAGGCAGATAATACTAAAATCTAAATGGCAATTTGCACAAGCTAAACTGCCTAAGAATGAAACATTAACACTCTTGGTATTCATTCAAACATTCTTCAATACTGCATTCTGACAATGTTGTCTTACCAGCCATGTGTTTGTAACAACCTCTCCCACAGTTGCCTCTACTTCACATCCCAGCAAAGGTACCACAGCATAATCGGCAATGACTCTGCTAGGACGGGATACAATCTTTCCAGCATATTCTCTTATGATGCTTGCAATACTGCATTCATTTTCATGACTAAAACCCAAAATAAGGAAACTCTTTTGGCTAAATAAGCCTTCCTCAGTAATTGTAGAACCATCAGGGATGCAACGACTGACAGAAGACTGATTCTCTTCTTGTAGAGAAATGTGCGTAGAATCATTAAAGGGCTCAACATGAGTAGAACCATTACAGTGCCCAATGTCAGACTCTGCAGTCTCGGACTTGTTAGCTTCCACTGGAAGAGAAAAATAATTCTCTGATAGATAATTTATCTTAGGGTTGAAGTTCATTTCCAAGCAAAGACAGTAACAAAACAAGTCTGATCATTTGGAGGCTTGTCCAATTAAGGCTTAAATGTACACAAGGAAGAAGGGGTGTGGATCTACACCGTCTTCAGGGTTACCGGGAACATGATCAGTATCCCACCTTCCAGTAGGAAGCATGTTAGTTGTATGTATCCCTAGTACGCTAGAAATGAATAAGCTGAAAGTTATGATGCTCTTATAGGCATATCTTAGCTTCAAAATTCATTTAGATAATTTAAGAGGAGCACTGAGAAAGAAAAAACAGAATTAACAGGCCCAAGGAGTATAATTATCAAGCCTTTACCATGGAGATCACTATGTAAATGCAATAATAAGAAAATCACAGTGAAATCTAAAAATCCCTAATATGGTTCTGATTGAAGTTGGAGCTACTAAATTTCTGTGTGGACTTAAGTAAATTAATGATCAAGAACACAAACAAATTATCTCAATGATGCCATTTTAAGATAAAGTTGACAATAGATGGGTGACAGAAGAAAATATATACAGTACCTAAACAAAAATATATATCATTAAAATAGTCTTAATATTTAATAAATATTGTCTAATTAAGGTTTAACATACAAGAAGTAACAGGATATTCCTGAAAACTATAGTGGTACGGTGTTGGAGGGTAATACTTTATGGCTAAGGTTGGCAAATGGGTCACACAGACTGTTTCCGTAGTCTTGGGATTAAAAATAACTTTTGTATTTTTTTTTTCTGGTACTGGGGATTGAACTCACTAACTGCGTGCTTGCTAGGCAGGCGCTTATGCTGCTGAGGTAAATCCCCAGGCCAACTTTTGTATTTTTCAATGGTTGTCAAAACCAAACAGTATGCAACAGAAACAGACTTTGGCTATAATTACTGAAATTTTTACTGTTTATCCCTTAGGTGAAAATTTTCATCCTGCATTATGGAATTCCAACAAGGATTCAAGGATTCACGCATTCAAACCAGGCATGGTGGCGCATGCCAAAAATCCCAGCACTTGGGAGGCTGAGGCAGGAGAATCCACGAGTTTAAAAAAAAAAAAAAAAGAAAGAAAGAAAAGAGAGGATACACTCACTCAGACAGGCACTGTGTCTAGGTGCTTACATTCACATAATGTTAACTGTGAAGTTAATATCATATGTTCCCTTTCTCCAAAACGAAATGTCAGGTTTTAAATATTCTGCAACTTATCTTGTCACAGTTATAAAGTGACAGAAATGAGATGCAAAGGGGGGCAAAGTAACAGGTATGTGTGTCGGTAAAAGCAAAACAAATTACCATGTGAAACAGTAACAGTAACACCTAATTCTGAAAATCACATAAGCCGTGTGTTAGGAAGTGTTTATGTATGTTGTGTTGTGATCATTAAAGTTTTCTAAGGTTCTTGAGGAAAGGAAAATTTCTCATTATGATGCATATTAAAGTTCCAAGATCAAACATTAAAAATATAAATAGTATACATAACTTCTCCATCTACAGAGGAAAAGATATGGAATTCATAATGGGATTCAGAATTAAAAGGCACAGGATTAATCCACCCAAAATAAGACAAAAAACATTTTAAGGGGATGGTGGGGTAAAAAAATGGGATAAACAGCAGAAAATGACACTGTCACAAGAGTATACACTGGTAAACTTCAGGAAGCAATCCACTTTATGTAGTGGGACCTACACATCCCCTTGAATCAACCATGTCAATCGGAGTTTATGCTAGAAAAATTCTTGTTAATGTGCACAAGGAGACATGCATACAAACAACCTCAGGAATATGTTTCTAGTGGCAACAGAGATGTAATAAAAACATCATAGTAGAAAGCCAAGAGAGGTGGCTCATGCCTGTAGTCCTAGCACTCAGGAGACTGAGGCAGGAGGATCACTGAGAGTTCGAGACTAGCCTGGGTTACAATGTGAGTTCAAAGTCAGCCTGAACTGTGTAGTGAGACCCCATCTCAAAAAAATACAAAAAACAAAACAAAACATCATAGCAGAAGAAGTAATAAACTATGGTATATCCATCTGGGTGCAGTATATTTGTAGTTAGATACCTAGATTAGATAAGTACTTTTCCTATTAGGTGTAAGTGGGCAGTAGAAAAAAAATACTATGTATGATCTATGTAAGTTAAAACGGATATAAAATGAAATAATGGAAACATTGTTTATAGATATACATGCATAAGATTTTAAGAAAAATGAAGGAGGATTCCCTGGAGGTTTGACACAGTGGTGATTCTATTTTCTATAACTAGACAACATGGTTCCTCATTACATTATTCTTTATGTCTTTTTAGATGTTTCAAATATTTCACAATACATCCTACATTTTACAAAACAAAGAAAAAGCTGTTCCTAACTCTTCACTGGAAATTTACCTTACCACACTGGTAAAACTATGTGCTAATATAGGGCTAGGCATCCATAGTACAGCACAATGGCATCAGAAGCACCTGTTACAAATCACCACACACTTCCACAGGCAAGCAATGCGTGTGCATATGTAACACAGCCAACTGGAGCCAGTCAGCTGAAGACAGCAGAGAAGATTAACAGGTTATGACCTCAAAGGCCTGGCCTGCTCAGAAAAATTTACAACAAAATTTTAAGAAAGTCATAAGGTTTAACCTAAAATCTTGGCAGCAATCACATATGTATGTATGTATTCATCTACTAAAGTATTTCTTAGAAACTCCTACCCCTAGAAATACAAATCAAGGGTTTCTTACCTACTGTGGAGTCATTGTTTACATACTGAGAGAGTAGATCCTCATCAGCTTGTTCACGTATTTCACTAGGAGCAAAGTCTTTCTTAGAGAAGCTGCTGTTGTTCTTTTTTGAAAGAGTTGTTTTACTCTCTGGCTGATCTGAAAATGGAATTTCTGCTGGCTTGTAGCTAGCATGAATATACATTTCTTCAGGAAGCATATAACCTTTACTAAAACACTCCAGCAACCACTTTGCTCCCACTACATGAGGCCTACAAAAACAGCACAGAATTATGCATTAGTTTAGACCACGAAGACCATCAGCTCAGTTCCATGCACTCCCGTGCTACACTGACATACAATTCTAACAACACTCATCACATAAGTAGAAACTGTTTTGAATTAAAAATTGACAAACCTGTGGGCTGATTTATCCCAAAACTGCTTCAATTCATCATCATAATCTCCCACAATAACATGAGTTACATCTTCATTAAGCTGATTAAAACGAACTCCACCTCCACTGTTAATTAGCCTTCTTAGTTTATCTAGCTTTCTGCCACTAAAGCCACAGAGATATATCTGCAAAGAAAGAAAATATCTGCTTTAAACTGATGTGTTTAAGAGGCTTGATTTCTCAGTAAAAACAAAATTAAGAATAGGTATCTAAAAGCAAAAAAAAAAGTGTCTAAATAAGATAATCTATATACATTTTAGGATACATTAAGAAATAAAATGTTTCCTGAAACTGTTAAAAAAAAATTCCTTTATGATCCTATAGGGTTAGGGTTAAAACTTTCAAAGAAGATATCCGATATTATTTTGTAGCTTTAAATAAATAAGAGAAATAAAAATCCAGAATCTTCTGAATATTGGTGCATAGTAATTTCTAGCTCTGCACGCAGCTTCTTGTGATAGTCTTACTACTTTTTTTTTGTCTTTTTCGTTTTTATTGGTACCGGGGATCGAACTCACGACTGCCTGCTTGCAAGGCAGGCGCTTATGCTGCTGAGCTAAATCCCCAGCCGATAGTCTTACTACTAATAAATGTTAAAGTATAGACAGAGTACTGTAATTGTGATTCCAATTACAATTATGAGGCTTAAATCATTGTTTTCAGCTGGCACTGATAACCATACACACTAAGTTCCTTAACACATTCCCACCAGCTTGAACCACCAGTGGTATATGCTTCATTGTCCCACAGGAGACTTGAACCAGGGGTAGTGCAGAGCTACCTGGCAGTGAGAATTAAAGGCACACTGTGCATGTATGAAGCTCTTTAATTTTCTTACCTATAAAGAGATTTCTTTTTTATAGAGTTAGTTAAACCAAAATATGTAAGAGCCAAGGAGTGCTCTGAGAACAAAATGCAAAAATTTATTAAAACTTTTAATTATTATGACATATACATCTAAACCAATTTAATCAGCACAAAAAATTTTCACTCTGTTTTATATAAGGTGCCTTAAAAACTTAAGAATGACAAATCTTTTTCTGCATTTGTATGCCAACTTAAATTACCTCCATTACTAGATATATCTTAACAAAAATTAGGACTCAGACTTTCCTGTACATAAACAGTAATTCAAAATCATATCTAGAACTAAGTCTACAATAAAAGACTACACAAAACATTTTCTGTTCTACCAACAAATTGGTAAGTTTTAGCAGTATAATAAGATGGGATCCTTTGCCAAATTTTCTTAACAATAATACGGCGATAAATCTTTGCTACTCTACAAAAATTAAGGAATGAAGAATATTCTAAAACTTTCATTTTTGTTCCAGGTGGCTGCTGAGGATTGTGGTAGGACAGGTCCTGGAGCTAGATGGCCAAGGCCATCTCCTGGACCACCTAGTGACCATCATGGCCAAGCACGTACTCTTGAACCAGAAAGTAGTAGCTGGGCCTTACGAGGGTATCAACATTTCCGGCAACTTCTACAGAAACAAGTTAAAGTACCTGACCATGCCTCAAACTTCCTCCCACAAAATTTCCTCTAAAAGTCCTCAATACTAACCCTTCAACTCAACTAAAAGTATTCTAATAAAATCAGACCTCATGTCAACCTTTTCTTCTCATGTACTATCTCCCCCTCCAAACCTCCCCATTAGTGTCTAACACTCCTCATTCAGCCACTTCCCATTCTCCCCACTCACCTCACCTCTCTCACTGCAGAACCACCACAAAGAATAAACTGTCATAGTGCACACAGAAAACAGACAAATGGAGGAGAAGTACCTGCAAGAGCTATCATATGGAAGTGCTGGAAGGTTGAATCTACAGATACTGTTGTTAACAGAAGCAATTTTTTTTCACAAAACAGGGACATGTCAAAATCACGTAAGTAAACAACAGAAAAAGTAAATACTAGCACTGAGCATACAAAGCTGATAATTATTTATGGGAAGGCAACATCCTACAACACAAATCTCCATGTAAGTCACAAACTCTCACCCTTTCCCATCTTCGTCTTTTTCCAGGAAGGTTTATAATTGTAATTCCAAGGAGAAGGTAGTGGAATTCTAGTGAGTTAATTCCAAGTTACTACTTCCAGTGCAACACACGGGGAGAAGACACAGAGACACATATACAGTTGTGGGGAGCCCACGAGTCCAGCCAAGATAGTGGTTCACCAGGACAAAGGCCTCACCCAACCCAACCCAGGTTCTATTAATTATCCATGAGAGGCATGGCTCAGGGATGAGTGACAGTGAGAGTGGCGGAAAATACGTGACTGCTGTAACTACTGTGAATTGGGCTAGATAGGAGGTCTGAGATCACCTCTGTGATAAACAGAGGGCAAGAAATGCAGAGAGAGCAATCTGCACAACACAATTGAGGCAGTGTCTAATAACTTGGGGTCAGTGCTTCAGTTCTGTTTTCCCTGGGAAGTCACAGCCTTTTTCTCAGGCTCAGTCAGCCAACAGCGTGGGGTATAGCTCTCGATCCCAACCTGCTCAACTATATATTTGGGGAGTCACTGGGCGGGGTAACACCGACCTGTTGCTTTGCCTTAGAGATTACATATCAGCTCCTCTGCCAGCCCAGTTTACACTGCTTAAAGCCAATCGAAGCAACAAAGAAATAATGTAGCCAGCTCTGTACATGTCAGTACATGGAGATAGGGCCAAGTTTATGGAGAGTTGCTCTTCTTTTCAAGGAGAGTCGTCTCCGTGGTTCCCCACAAACTCCTTCAGGAAAAGAAGAGAGTAAAGAAAGGCCATACGTAATTTTTAAAAAAGAAAAATCTATGAAAAGTTCACAGGCAGGAAGAAAATAGATGAGTTCAAAGAGAAAATGAACCAAAAATTTACAGAAATTTCACTCAATATGCCCCTGGTGAATTAGAGGGAGATACAAGATGAAAAACTGGACAAGCTAATCAAGGCAATTCCAAATCTGAATGACAGATTCAATGATATGGAAGCTGTGGAAGCTGTGGAAAGATGTCAGACAGAAATACCTGAAATAAAAAATTGTACAGAATTCATACACTGTAGAAATGAGCAATGTAAAGACGGAGTGATACCAGGACAAAATAATGAATAAAAATAAAAATAATGAACAAAAAATAATGAAGAGGTCGAAGAAGCTAAAAAGAAAATGAGAAGAGAAGACTATCCAGCAGCTACTAAATGCAACAAGAACACCAATCTAAAGTTAACTGGAGTCAAAGAAAAACTAGAAGTAGCACGAATTCACTAATATGCCTACAGAAAACATGCAAGAAAATTTCTCAAATATAAGAGTTTAAAATACAGAGGCTGGGGATTTAGCTCAGCGGCATAAGCACCTGCCTTGCAAGCAGGCAGTCATGAGTTCGATCGCCGGTACCGATAAAAAAAAAAAAAAAAGTTTAAAATACAAGTCACACTTACAATGAAAAAAGTAGCTCACCGAGGTCTATCCTTATTAAATTATCAGATACCCAGCAAAAAGCCAAAATTTTAAAAGCAGTCAAAGAAAAACAAAAAATTACATAAAAGGTAAACCAATTAGAATCACAGTGGACTTCTCAACTCAAACCCTAAATGCCAAAAGAATTTAGAGTATTTAAAAGCTCTAAGAGCAAATAACTTCCAACTCGGATTAACTTAGTTAGCAAAGCTACCTTTTAAAATAGATGGAGAAATAAAGATATTTCCACATAACAGATCATCAGCTCAGAAGATAAGTAAATGTTAATCCAGCTCTAGAGAAAATACTTAAGAATAGTCTCAACAGAAACAACAAATGAAATACTACAAAAAAACACAGAGGAAACTAGTGAGGCCAGTGAGTACACAGCAGCAAAAAATCATCAGGAAAAGAACAAAGGACACACCAACAGACAAAGAAGGCAGTGATAGTAAATAACCAACCCATCTTGGTAATATGTCTCAATTCTCCAATTAAGACAGACTGGAAGACTGGATCAAAAAACTAGAATCCAACAATCTGTTGCATTCAAGAAACTCATTTCATTCAAAGAGATATTCACAGACTAAAATTAAAGGATGGAAAACATTTCATGCATTAAGACCCTAAAAACAAACCAGGGTAGCAACTGTAGTATCAGACTCAGTAAACTTCAAGCTAAAACTGATTAGAGGAGACAAAGAAAGTCTCTAAGTTCTAGTTAAGGGAACAATCCAACGAGAAGAGAATTGATAAATATGTATGTGCCAAATACTGAAGCATCTATCTTCATAAAACAAAAACTGCTAAAACTGAAAGACCAAATCAACACTAATACAAACATACTACAGCATTTTAACACTCTGGTTCACAAGAGATGGGTCAATCAAACAAAAACTAATCAAAAAATTTCACAGCTGAACCACATCTCTGAACATACAGATTCAATGGATATAGTTTTTCACCCCTCTATAACACAGTATACATTCTTTGCAGCAGTGCACTGTACTGTTTGCAAAACAGATCACATACTAGCTCACAAAGCCTGCTTCAGTAAATATAAAATAACAGCCCTAAGCATACTGCCAGACCACTGGGCAATTAAAAAAAAAATCAACAACAGAAGAAATTTTGGAAACTCTAAGAGCTCTCAGAAAATTAACAATATACTCCTATATAACCAATCGGTCAGTGAAGAAATCAAAAAAGAAATTTTAAAATTCCTAGAAGTTAATGACAACAAAGGTACAATTCATCAAAACCTATGTGACAGTATGGAAGGTGTTCTAAGAAGAAAATTCATTATAACCAATGCACACATTAGGAAAAAAACAGAGAAAGCTCAACCAGTCAACTTTATGAGACAGCTTAAGATACTTGAGGCCAACAACAACAAACCAGTCCCAAACTGAATTAAGGAAGGAAATTATAAAGATGAGAGCAGAAGTCAATGAAATTGAGACTAACGTTAAAAAAAAAGTCAACAAACTGAAGAGTTGGTTCTTTGAAAAAATAAAATTGATAAACCCATAGCCAAACTTAACAAGAGAAAGCAAGAAAAGAATCACATCAATTCAATAAACAAAACACAAGAGGTAGAATTACAACAGACACTAGAAATTGAGAAGGTAGTTACATTCTAGCACATTAGCAAATTTTGAAGAAATGGACATATTGCTAGACACACACAAACTACCAAAATTAGCCCAAGGAAACATAAATATACTTAACAACTCAGTAACAAGAAATGGAACTGACACAATAACAAAGAATCTACTAACTAAAAAAAAAAAAAACCCTGGGACCTGATGGATTCACTATTAAACTCAACGAAACTTTTAAGAATGTTATATCGCCAATACTCTTCAAGCTCTCCAAAAAAACTAAAGGAATAGAGTGCTCTCAAACTCATTTATGGAAACCAGTATCACCCTAATCCCAGAACCACATAAAGACTCAACTAAAAAATGCAAACTATGGGTCAATCTCGTTAATGAATATAGACAGAAAAACCCTCAACAAGATATTAGCAAACGGAATATAGCACAAAGATCGTACATCATGATTAGGCAGGCGGGTTTCATATGAGATGCATAGATGATTCAATGTGTGTAAGTCAATAAATGTAATGCATCACACAAATAGAAGCAAGGCCAAAAACCATACCATCATATCCATAGATGTAGAAAAGGCTTGTTACAAAATCTAATGCTCCTTTCAAAATCCTGAAGAAACAGGTATATAAAGACCATATCTGAATATGATAAAAGCTAGATATGACAAACCAATATCCAGCATCATACTAAATGAGGAGAAACCAAAAACATTCCCCCTAAGATGATGAACAAGACAAGGATGTCCACTATTACCTCTTTTGTACAACACAGTACTTGAAACATTAGCCAGAGCAACTAGGCAAGAGAAAAAAATAAGAGATACATCTAGGAAAGGAAGGTTACAAATTATTATTATTTGCAGATGATGTGATACTTTACACAGACCCAAAGAACATCACCAAAAACTTCCCAGAATACTGAACTTTAGCAATGTAACAAGAAACAAGATTAATACAAATAAAATCACTCACATTTGTGTACACCAACAATGAATGGGATAAGAAGGAAATTATAAGAATACTATTCACAGTAGCTTCAAGAAAAATGAAATACCAAGTTATTAACCTAACCAAGGAAATGAACAACCTCTACACAGAAAACTCCAGTACTCTGAAAAAGGAGACTGAAGAGGACATGAGTAAATGCAAAGATGTCCCCTGCTCCTAAATAGGCAGAACTACTACTACCAAAATGGCCATATTTCCAAAACTGTTACCAAAATACCAACTTTACTTTACAGACTTAGAAAGAAAAACAAAAATCTTAGAAACCAAAATCTTAGGAACCTAGAAAAACAAAATAAATTTGGACAAGAGCAAAGCAGGAGGCACTGCAATACGTGACTTCAAGTTATTCTACAAAGCAATATAAAAATAGCATGATACTGGAACAAAAACAGATACATGGATCAAAAGAACAGAACTGAGGACACAGAGCCTTCCCCAGACATACTCAGCTTCTTGGTCTTTGACAAAGGGGCCAAAAGCCAATGTTGGAGGAAAGACAGCCTACTCACAAGTGGTGCTGGGTACAGTGGATACCCTCATCTCTCACCACATACTAAATTAAAATCAAAATAGATCAAAGATCTAAACATCAGAACAGAAACATTAATTTACTGGAAGACAAATATGTAAAACCCTTACAGACAGATGTAGGAAAGTATTTCCTAAATGGAACCTCAACTGCACAAGAAGCAACAGCAAGAATCAACAAATGCGATTACACCAAACTAACGAGTTTCTGTATAGCAAAAGAATCAATGCGCAGAGTGAAGAGACAATCTACAGAATGGGAAAAAAATTTGATCAGACAGAAGACTAATATCTAGAATATACAAAGAACTCAAAAAATTAAGCTACCTAAAATTAAAGATCCAGTCAAGAAGTGGGGAAGAGAAATGAACAGACACTTCAAAAAGGAAGAAATAAATAAATATCCTGGGCATTAGAGAAATGCAAATTAAAACAATGCTAAGATTCCACTGTACTCCAGAAAAAATAGCAATTATTAAGAAATCAAACAAGAACAAATGCTGGGGCAACCCATTTGAGAGCCCTCCTGTCCCTCAGGAGCTATTCTTAGTCCCTATTCCTCCACTTCTATTTCCCATTCCTTTTCTCCAGTAAATTTTTCTACTCTTAAAAAAAAAATACTGGTGAGGCTGTGGTGAAAAAGGAGCCCTCCTTCACTGTTGGTGGGAATATAAACTCGTAAAACCATCATGGAACTCAACATGGAGATTTCTCAAAAAACTGAAATTCGAAATTCCCTGTGACCCAGAGACCCCTCACCTTGGGTATCTTCAAGAGCTAAAGACATCATACTACAGGGAAGCTTGCATACCAATGTTTAGAGGCGCATAACTTGCAATAGCTAAATCCTGGAATCAGCCTGTATACCCATCAACAGATGACTGGAGAAAGAAAATGGTATCTATAGTCAATGGAACACCTCTCTGCTATAAGGAATGACAGATTTTAGACATTTGCAGGAAAGTGATGTACCTGGTAAACAATGTTGCATGAAATAAACCAGATACACAAGCTTAAATACCATATGGTATCTCATTTGAGTGAGGCAAAATACAAACAGAGAATAATAAGGATGGATAGAAGGGGCAACAATATGGATCCATTGTAATGGGGAAATGGTCTAAGGGAAACAGCACAGGGTAAAAAGGAAGGAAAGGAAGTAAGAATGAAGATTCCTATGTACAGGAATCTAATAACCTCACACGAGCCAAGATTAATACTATCAACAGGAATGAAAAATGGGGTAGGGGAATTGGCGGAAGAGGGAGAGGAAGGAAAGGGTATAAAAAAACAAACCAAGCTGTGGTATGTACATTTAACTACTCCCTAAGAAGACCATGAACTCTGTGAACCATAAACGTGTAGTAATAAAATCAAAATTTAAAACAAACTTCTCATTTTAAAAACTTTCTTTTACAATCTGTTAGATTATCTTTCATAATAGATACCTGAAGTACTTTGAGATTTGAAACAAAACAGAAACCAGACTAGTCATTTTACAACTAGGAATACATTTAGTATTCAGATCCAAAAGATCTGAAAAAGCACAATGTATGACATTTCCATTGAGGAACTTACAAGATACTTACATACTGAAAGTACACTTACCCCTTTTTGTGTACTGAGGATTGAACCCACTTATAGCCCTGGTTCTTTCCAAATTTTTTTTCTTTTTTTTAAATTCTGAGAGATCTCCTTAAGTTACTAAGTCTAGGCTGGGCTCGAACTTGTGATCCTCCTACATCAACCTCTCAGAATGCTGGGTAACAGGTATGTGCCACCACACCTGGTCTAAAAATTTAAACAATCCAAGAGATACTGAACAAGAGGACCTTTCCTGATTAGGAAGACCAACTCTGGGGCGGATGGATAGCCATTTGCTGCTGTATGACTGTCAAAAAGAATTTTAAGTATCTAAGTGTGAACCTCAAGATGGTATCTAATAAGAGCTATGTGTGGGATTTAAGATTATACACGACATACTAATATAACATATGAGATGATCAATGGTGTTAATACATCGCAAAAACTTAATAAGTGATCTTATGAATAAGAATCTAGTAAGTGGTTGAGAAATTAAGAATTTCAAAGCACAGCAGATTACTGCAACTGAAAGGGTTCAGAGGAAAGTTGAAAAGTGAAATGAATTTTAGAGGATAACAGATGAAGGTCCATCCCAGGCCAAGGGATCCTTATGACTATGGGATGGACACACAGACAGCTGTCTTTATTTAGTGAGGGATTTATGCAGATAAAGAGCAAGTCCATGTTTGAGGGGCCTACAAACTCTGGCTAGGAAGTGCTGAAGTACATCATTACTGTCTGCATTTATTACATAATAAAGACGTACCCGACAACCATCTAATAAATCTTCAGGTGCTTGAAATGCACTGATGTCCAGATTTTCTAGGTTTTCAAGTGTAGGCTCCAATTTGCTATTAAGAATTGAACTGCACATGGATTCAATTATACAACTTCCATTTATGTTGGAAATGTGGCTGACGTCTGAAAGAGTACGGCCTACATATTTTAAAACAAAGTATAAATTTATGAAGATATAATAGTCATTACATATTTTCTTCTAAATTAATTTTTCCCATAATACAACATTTAGAAACAATTTTTGAAGACTTAGTGGTTTTTGTTTTTTGAAACAGGGTCTTGCTACATCGTTCAGGTCAGTCTTGAACTATAGATAGCTGAACTTACTATATTGCCCAGGCTGACCTTAAACCCAAAGCAATTCTCCTGCCTTAGCCTCCCAAGTGTTGGGATTACAGATGTGTTCCACCACCAAAGGTTTTTTAATAGGAATCTTGGTGGCAAATATGAAAAGGAAAAATAATCTCTTGTTTACCATAAAATGCAACTGCTGGCCTTAAAGTCCAAGAAACTTACATTTGAGAAAAATCTTAGATGTGTTACTTAAGTGTACCAACTACTCACAAGGCGTGTAATCATTACATACAGTAAACACGTACTAATAAAAAATAAAATTTGAAAAAATAAAATGTATTAATATTTGTGTCAAAAAGTTCTGAAAAATTCTCTTAAGTCTTCAACCATTAGTATTTTTAAAGTCTTTGATTATCTCTTACAGTATTATCAGGATACTGGAAGAAAGTAATTATTCATTCTAAAAAGAAACATCAGGAGCAGTTCTGGACAAATTTTTAATATAACTACACAACCATAGCTATAGATGCATAGGGAAAAGAATAGCAATTCCCTATTATATTTCAGCAATCCTATTAACAACCTTTTTTTTTTTGACAATGCCTATGATCAAATACAGTCTTAAAATGCTAGGTAAGTGTTGTACCACTAAGCAACAAACTCAGCCTAATAAATCCATTCTTAGTAAATGGAAAATTGATTCGTTAATTTTAATCTTAATAGACTTACTATCATTCGTGCTGATCTGACCAGTGGGAGTTGAAGTATCAGGCAGAGTCCTTGCTTCTAGTCTAGGTTCTGCTTTGTATATAGACTCATCTTGACAAAAACCTTTTTCAATACTATCAAAAAACCACTGTGTGGTCACACAGTGTACATTCCATCTCTTGGCACATTCGTATTTCTGACCTATTTGTGTTAAGAAATAAACAGAGATGAAGAAATATTAACATTATAATACATTATTTTAAAAAACCTTCCTGAAACAAAATTGAAGGTTACCAGCAATTAGCCTTATTTACATGCTACACTACATACTGTGCTAAAAAGCAAAAATTTAGGTCATTACCTAATCATAGCTTTGTACTGCATAAATATACATTCAGTGCTGAGTTTATCTTCTTGAAATAAGACAGGCAACTGTTGGGTAACTGGTAATACTGAACTTGTTCCCATAAAAGCTCCATCACTTAATTTCTTTAGGTCAGTTTCTTAATCTATAAAAGGGAGCTAAGTCAGAATTATGAAGTAGTTTTAATAAGCATATATACACATTGGTGAAAACTAAATGTATGCAATGTAGTAACTGCTAAAAGGATTTATTCCAATCTCTAAAGGATTCTACTTAAAATCAAGGATAGGCAAATAAAATAATTGTTACTTATATGATCTCACTCCACCCCCTCTGAAACAGGGTTTTGCTAAATTACCCAGGCTGGTTTGAACTTTTGATCTGCCTAACTTCTGAGTAGCTGGGATTACAGACAAGTGTACCACCACAACCAGCTTTTATGGGCATTCTTGAGTCAATGGATGAAGCTTTCAGATTCAGACAAGTAGTAACAGTGTCAACTCTACTCACAACTGTTACCATCAAAATTGTGACTTACAGGTAATTACCAATCAACATTAACAATGTTTGTCAAATTTTATTTATGTAGTTAGCTTAGTAAAAACAGTGCCAATACAAAATATAAAAAACCTAAAAACATTAACAAAATTCTCTCTAGTTAATTCAGTTAAGATAACTGATTCAATTAAATACAAATTCAGACCTCCTTTTTTTTTGAGGCAGGATGTCACTATGTTGTTCAGGCTGGCCTCAAATTCACAGCGATCCTCCTGCATCAGCCTCCCAAGTGCTGGGATTACAGATGCGGGCCACCACACCCACCAAGTTTTTAAATTAATCGTTAGAAAGAAATGCTACTTGAGTTTTCTTGTTATAAACTTTTCTTTGAATTATTTGGTAGCTGTGGGGAGTTTTGTTTGCTTGTTTCTAAGAGAACTAATAGGTTAGATAGACTAAGATACCACAGTAAGGTTTGGATTTTTTGTATTTACTCAATGATATGGATAAACATTAAGATGGCAATCAGGCATGGTGGTGCATACTTGTAATCCCAGCACCTGGTAGGCTGAGGCAGGAGGATCGATGTTGAATTCAAGGCCAGCCTGGGCCACAAAGAAGTTCAAGGCCAGACTGAACTGCACAGCAAGACCCTGTCTCAAAAAAAGACAAAAACAAATAAAAGAACATTAGGATGGTCATGAAATTTTTCTACAGACTGTGACTCAAAATATCTTCACAAGATTTTAGAGCAAAAAATATCAAGCTAGGTTACATAAGAGCATTATCAGAAAACAAAAACTGTTCTATGAAGATTTTACAATGTTCAATACTGAAGAACAAAATTCCATTTGTCCATTTGTAAAACAGTTTTTACCTTTGGGTTCCTGCACGATCAGATGTGTACACTCATTCATTTTCAACTGTCCCATGTACTGGCCTCCATGCTTGATTGTGAGCTGCTGAACTGTCTTCCTGTCGAAGCCACACAAACCGGTCACACAGATCACACAACCAAGAAAAATAGGACATTTGAAATCTTCCATGTTTATATCGGTATATCTAGTTATTTTGCTGGAGAAAACAAATGATAAAAAAGGATAGAAATAATACATTAAACATACCAGATTTACTTGAAGTATAATGACAGACCGAAGTATCACTTCTACTCTCCTCACCCTGTCCTTCCCCGCCCAGCAGTCCTGGAATGAATCCAAGGCCCTTCCACTGAGCTACAACCCAGCTCCTCTGTCCTTCTGCAACAGGGACTTCTCAAGTCACTCAGCTGGCAGAGCTGGCATCCAATCCAATTTAAGAGTCTCCCGAAGTGCTGGATGTACAGATTGCTTTCCTCATTTATAAAGATTTATAGTAATTTTTAAGAAAAGGAGAACTAACATCCAGGATTACACTCACATAGTTCAACATCATATCTCTAATAAGTAATATTTTAGCTAGTCTTTCAAATAAAGCTGATTCAAGGGGAAAACACTATTTTGTTAACTTTAAGCCCTTGCTGGTTAAAGAAAGTGGTACGACTTTCAAATACATAAGCCTGCAACTCTGTTTAAAAACCCTAAGGTTTTTTGGTTGCCTACTAACAGTACTTTTAAATTCTTCCATTAGTTTATGTAAGTAAAAGCAATGATGTTTGGTACAATACCAATAAAAATATTATCATTCTGTCGCCGTGCTACAGACATGCTGATGAAGTATCAGTCTGGGTACAGAATGCTGACAGACAGGGGGACAAACTGAAAAGGTGCAGCACGGTATTGAAAACAAACCCAGGGAAATGCTGATAGAATTTTCAAGCCCGTATCATTCCTTGCTACCTAGACTGTAAGCTGTTAAGTTTTCAAGGAAAACTTCAGCACGCCCCTTGACAAGGATATAAGCTCCATGAGGGCAAGAACACCACCCTTGCTTGCTCCCTACGTACATCTAAGGTTTAACTCGGGCCTGGCACGTGAATTAGGCTCACTTACATGACTGATCACAGCTCAGCTGACAGCTTATATGTTTATATTCCTGCTTACATCTGCCCCCTTGGGAAGGAAAATGAGTGCCAAAATGGCTAATTTGTTCTCCATCTTAATATATGTGCAAAGTAAGGTAATGCAGCATAAGAACTAGGGAGAGCAGAAAAACGATTTTCTCAATGATTTCAGAAACACTGCAGGGAACCACTTTATCATCAAAGCATTTACCTTCTGGCTAGTGCTAATAAACTCACAGCCTGTTCTACCATCAACCTATACCCTGCTAATAAGCACTGATAGGTTCTGCTGTTTTCTCTGGAGAAAGAATAATAACCCCACTTTTGTTTCTGAACAACAAATCTGAAGAGTATCATAAAACTTCCACCTAGAAAAATTCAGATTACGTCAAAATAACAGAATTCATCACTTTTTTCAAGTCTATAAAATACAAAAGGAAGTGGGGGAGGGGAAGGGGACAGGAAAAGCATTGAAGTTATGCACATGGACCAACTCCCCATGACTGCAATCATTACGTACTACAAGCATGTATTAATAAAAAACAAGTCTATAAATACACAAATGTCTATCTTACTTCTCCTGTGTCTTCTCCCAAAGTGTTTTTATCCAAGAAGGAAGTAAAATAGGTTTCTTTAGATTTGCAGCAACTAAGTATTTTTTGCTACCAACTTCTCCTGCAACAAGGTGAGTTACTGATATATTAAGGTCTCTGTATACTCGTCCACCCATCATTTTCACACAGTTATGAACTTCCTCCTGCAGGCCCAAAAGAAAATACATTAATGCCAAAGCAAATCATCTTTTCTATTTTTACACAAGATTTCATAAATAACGTTAGCTGTTGATACTCTGAATATACAAATATTTCTCACTATTGTAAGATTAATCAAACTACTTCTTGGAAATTGGATATGAACTATAAATTTATAACTATTTTCCTAAACAGTCATAACAGAATGTTTCATTCAATGGACAAAATACGTAACAGTGAGGTCCACTTATACTGTCTAATGACAACATAGCCACGTAAATTTGTGTAAGAATACGCAATGACATCATCACCTGGCTACACTTTTATCACCACTGTCATCACCGTATCACCACTATCAAAAGACAAGTTAGCTATTTCTTCCTCCAATTTCAAGAATTTACTAAACTATGCTGGTCCTGCAGTAAAGATTATACTTTTACACAGTATATATTTTTAAAAATATAAATTGTACCTGTATATTAAAATATATTTTATAAATTTTAACACACACACCCAGCAAGATAGTCTCACCATGTAATTCAGGTTGGCCTTGAACTTGCAATAATGCACTTGCCTCAGTCTTCCAAGTGCCAGAATTATAGGCATATATTCCCCTGCCTAGCTTTTCCTAAAATATCTTTTTAAAGATTATTCATCTACAATGGAAAAATGTGATTCAGAAGCAATCTGATTGTAGAAGAAGTAGTGAGTTTCCCAAAACAAAAAACTTAAATTAAAATCCATTTTCAACAAAATGGATTCTCCTCTAATTTATTTACAAAAAAGATATACACTGTTGATTGTTGTGTACTATACTTCATTAAGTCATGAATACAAACACCAAATACACAGTCTCTTATTCCTTATGCAGTGAAAAATTTTGTGGAGATAAATAGATATGGAGTAATATTCAATACTTACCCTCTTCTCTTTATCCAGACTTGTACAAGATACGTTTACATCAGACATAACCATACTATAAACTGGATATTCAGCTCTTGGGACACACTGTTGGTAGTGGATACAAAATAAGACAACTGGGGGACCAACAATTCTGCAGCCAAGCTACAAAAAAAGAAAATTTTAGTACATTAGCTTAGAAGAGACTACTGCTCTTACAAATTATGTTTGGTAATACTTAAAATTATTGACAGAACTTATTGACTACTGCAGAAAAATACCAGGTTGTTAGAAAGAAAAAAAAAGACCATTAATTTCTCAGACACAGTAAACATGCACACACAAAAGCAAATTAAATGCAACTGTCAAAAGAAATAACATCCAAGAACTCCTCAATCAAAACTGCTATCAAAATTTTAATCTCTGAAATAAACACAACTGTAATACAATAATCTTAAGTTATAAGCAGAAAGCCACCCATGCATACTCTTCACATGAAGTACCCAAGCAAGGAAGCAGCTTAAAGAAGTAATAGCCTACAGTAAATCCCACTAAAAATCCTATTATGTTACCAAAATGTAGAAACCCAAGGCAGTTTCCACATTTGGCTTTGAAGTATTTAATATCTCTGCAGCTTTCTAAGAAAGACCAACAAAGACATCTACAATAATATAGGATAAACTAAAACAATGACTTTTCAATTTTACTGATACTGAGTGAAGAAAGGTGACATTCTTACTCAACATATGCATATTCAAGGCAAACTAAAAAGCCCACAGTTGCCAAAGTCACCACTGCATGGCTAATTTAAATACCTACAAGAAAAGAACTAATACCATCTTTTTGATCAGCCATAAATAAAGCAGGAAGTTTTTGATGCTACTGACTCTGACATGGATTTATATTTCAAAAATGAGGCTAACACCAACAACAATCTTGGCAGGGTGGGCACAGACCTTCTATAAGTTGTACAGATACTGCATCTACCTACTCGGCTATGTTTTCTTCTCCTTCAAACAAGAACCACTTCTCTGTAATCTGGATGGAATTATAGCCAGTTTACTTTTATTTCAATGTTTCTCTCTTGTCCAGACACCAAAAAGTGAGTCAGCAGACTCTAGAATCAACAAAAAGAAATAAGATGGCTCATTGATATAAAATGGTCCTAAGATAATTTTCAGACCTCATACAAGGTAGAAAAGATAGTAAAATTCTGTGTTCAAGAGCTCACAGAAAGACAATAGGTTAATAAGCACTATGTTGAAGTCATTTCCAACACTATTATTTCTTACTAATTTATCTTACAATCTGACTTTTAAGTACAAAAAAACCCCATCACTAAACTGTTGAGTTATAACTTATACTAAATGAAGCTATATTCCTTGAAATAATAATAAGAATGTACTATAACAAGATTAGTCTTTCGGTCTCCCCAAATCAAAAGAATCCCAGAGTATGCAGAATCTGTACACTTTGTGACCATGGAAAACAAAAACACACAGACTACCAAGTAAGTATCTGGAAGTTAGCAAACCTCTTTAAGGTGATCAAAGACAGCACCCCTAAAAGGGTCACAGATATAAAGAGATCTATCATTTTCCTTTATTTTCAATGCCTCTTCTTCAGTAATAATTTGAAGATATTCTTCTGATTGGAATTCTTTCATTGACTGAAAGAAAATGAAATAAGAACATACTTGAAATTAGTCTTCCATATTTAAGTCCTATCAAGTCTTCAAAATACATCTTAAAATCCTTTCTGCTGCTGAGAGCAACTATAATCTTATCTATACCACCTTAGAAACCTCCCACGTGGTCTACTTCTTCCTGCCTTGCCCTAAATCTATGTTCCACAGAGCAGTTTATAACCTTTCATCCACCACTACCAACAGAAAAACAAACAAAAGAATCAGATCATGTTAACTCTCTGCTCCTAATCCTCTAGACAGCTGGGCACAGTGGCGCATGCCTGCAATCGAGAACTGGGGAGTTGAAGCTGAACTGCCAGTGTTTCCCCAGTGTGGCACTTCAGCAACTTGGAGAGATCCTGTCTCAAAAATAAAAAGTAAGAAAAAGGTGGGAATGAAGCTCAGAGAAGGATCTGGGTTCAATCTCCAACACTGAGGGAAAAAAATCCAAACAACCTCTGATGACTTACCATTACACTCGAAATTTACATTTCTTCCTATGGTTCAGAAGACCATAGGATATGGCCCTCACCTGTCTCCCCACACTTAACAGGTTTAACTTTAGCCACGCCCACTGATCGGCATAACCTGGGACAAGCTAAGCATGATCTCATTTAGAAGCCTTACTCTTGTTCCTAGAGTGCAGGACATTTTTTCCCCAGGTCTTCACCTGATGTGATCATTTACTTCTAACAGGTCTTGCTTAAATGTCATTTCCTCAGAGATGCCTTTCGTGATCATAATTTTCTTCTTTTTTGCTTTTCTTTTTTTATTAATGTAGACGTGCTAGGAATCCAACCCACAACCTTGCACATGACCAGACGAGTGCTCTAGCACAGTTATACCTCTGGCTCCCTGATCACCAGGATCATGCTATCTTAAACCCTTCCTCTATCGCTTCAATCTATTTTACGAAGAAAAATAGTATTGATGTTTTATAAACAGACATATTTTTGTCTTTCCTATAGTTAAAATTTCAAGATGTATCTTGTTTGCTATCATATCCTGACACCCACTAAGCACTTAAACAGTTTCTGAACAAAAGTTAATTTCTATGTTAAAAAACTTACAGTGATCTTTTTAAAACTAATCACATACTCTGTTCTTCCAATTAAAACCCTCTAGACGATCACCAATGAAATGAAAAGTCAATCTTTACAATGGCTCACAGGGCATGACATGACTTTTTTTTTTTTTTTCAGGTGCTGAGATTGAACCCGGAACCTTCTCACTGAACGACATCCCCAGTTTCCTCTTTAATTTTTTTTAAATTTTAAAACAGATCAAGACTGGGCTGGGCTTTGAGAGCCTTCTGTCTAAGACTCCTACAGTACTGGGATTTCAAGTGTGCCCTACCATGTTTAAATTTGACTTTACTTTTACTTCCAGAAGCATTCCCTATTTTTTAACCTGCATCCCTTGCTGACTACTCTATAGCCCACAAGCACTTTCCCAGACCACTGAACATGGATGGTTGTTCCCTTGCCTGAAACCCTCTTTCCTACATACCCACAGACTATCTCACCTCAAGTACACCTAAATATCTTCAGCACAAAGCCTACCCTGGTCATATTCCATTTAACAAGGTTGAAACCTTCCAGTTTTCTTCCCCAGCAAACATCCTCTGGAACCCCTTAACCTATTTTGCTTTTTTCTCTTCCTATAGCACTTAGCATATTATAACACACTATATTTTTCTCATTTATCATCTGACTAATATCTCTTTCCTGCTGCTAGAATGTGAGCTCTGAGAGAAGAAAAATTTTTGCTTTCTTTGACCACTGATGTATCTATCCCAAGTACTTTAAAGCAGTACCCATCAGATCATGGACATTCAATAAATAATCACTGAACGGGTGAGTGAACTTGAAGGAAAACTCTAGTTGTTTCTCAAACTTTCACATGCAATAGCACTTCTGTTTAAAATGCAGATACTAATTGTCAAGTCTGGGTTGGGACCCAAGGTTCTGCATTTCTAACAAACTCCCAGGCCATATTGATGCTGCTAGGTGCTGTGAGCAGCAAAACTTTAACACTACCCTGCCTGTCATTTTGCATAATAAAACATATTTTTAACAAAAATCAATGAAGTGTGATGAATCCCAGACCAAATCAAAATTCAACACAATAAATAATAGGAAAAGAAAACAATTTTCAGAAACTACGTATCAGCCACATTCAACCAAAATGTCACTAATAGATTTCAAGCACCCCAAATACCAAATGACACACATATCATATTATGTAACAATGATTTACCTATATTAACAAATTACAGCAAAATCACACGAAAGATGTCTACTATTAGGACATAAAGCCCAACATATCAAAAACACTTAAGAATGGAATAAAACAAAGACCAGTTCAACTGTTCTTACCTCAAGGGCTTTAGAAAAACACTCAGAATTGTCTGAACACTTTAAAAACTTCACAAGAAACGGTTCTTTGTTATTTGTGGACATTGTTGAACTGTCAAAATAAAGGTATCATTAACAAGAACAAAATTACATTATGTAGGACGTTAAACGTTTAACGTTTCTACTTTCCTGAGCAGACAATAATGCCTAAGGATAGACATTCTGATCTTGCACATGAATTCGTCCATGACATATGCAAGAAACTCTAGCATGTCAGCAAAGTCAAAGAAAAAGAGACTGACTCTTTCAAATCAGAATTAGCGTCCTTGAACTGAACACATTTAGGGCTCCTGCAACTGACCCCTTATTCAAGGACATTCCATTGAACTAGGCTTAAAGATACACAGAGCCCATTAGTAGCTGCTGGTACACACGGCCGATGGGGGTTTTCATCCCTAACTAAAAAGTTTGAATGCTGTATACACACGGCAGCCAGTTGGCCTTTTTGGGAGGCCGCCCCTCCCAAAAAGCTAGATGCATCTGCTCCCCAGCCCTCAGGGTAAGGCCCAGCTGGCGGAACACAGAAGCCGCGTCCTCTCCCGCTTCAAAGGCCCACCCGCCAGGCCCGCCGAGGACCCGTTACCCAGATAGGAAGTGCCGCGACTCCCGGAAGGGACGGCGAGTGTGCTGGGTCCTCACTCGCCTCGATGAAGCCTGGGGATCTTAAGACAGCAAGTTGGGGGGGGGCGCGGCCAGCAGGACAGCAGCTGGGGTCGGGCGCCAAACAGCCGCACAGCGCCCCCCCAAATCCGGCGGCGCCCCCAGCCCTGAACAAAAACGACTGAACCCGGAAATCGCAGAGGACAGGAACCGACTTTCGCGCCAACCGCAAGGACGCACTCTTTTCCGGCGGAAGTGACGTCACAGCAGCTACAGCATGGGCGGGAATATCAGTGTAGCGGTGGGCGGTCGGTAGACTGGGGGCGGGGCGACTGGGCTGGATCCTCGCTGTTTAGGATTTTGAAGGTTGATGTAAAGGACAGCAAGCCAGCAATCCTTTATTGGGGCCCTAGGCATACAGCAATGAAGGCCGTGGTCAAAAGAACTTACTAAGTAAGCATTTTCCTCCTGGCAGATAGTCAAGCCACCAGTGTCTCCACTTTAGAGACATAAACACTAAGGTTAAGAGAAGATAACTGAAATGTTCAAGGCCCCACAGTAAATGGTAAAATTAAGACTGTATCAAAGATCTACCTCCACAGACTGGGTTCTTTTGAAAATAATCGCTGGACCCCGCAGGCAAAAAGTATGAAGAAAAAAAAAAAGACAATGAAATAGTTTGAATGACACAGGTAACACAAAGGGACCTATTTCAATATCCACTGTGTCTCTGCTCTCCTCCCCTTCAATAAGCATTTCCATTTTCTTTGGATTTGTCTCCCTATGGCAAGATTCTGGGACGAGTCTAATATTCAAATGGCCAGGGGATCAGACTTAGGAAAGTTTAGTCCACTGAAAAAAATGGATGAACTGCTTAGTGCTTCTGCTTGTTTTGTTCCTGACTATGGAAACTGAGAAAAATGACTTCGGATTGAGTAATGTGAGCATTTAATGCTACACATTATGATTGTTTTTATTTTTCTTAAGGCTCAATAAATAGCTCGGCTCTAAGTGTGTGAATACACTCATGTAACATGACAAAGATTGTTTGCTTGACCAAAATTTAACCAAGGTACCGAACCTTCTCCTAAGCTTACCTGTGGGCTTCCTTGTAAAATTGAGTTAGTCTCTGTCTTAGCTACTTTTCTCTCTTGTTGAGACAAAATACCTGACACTCAAAGTTAGGGAAGGGAAGGTTTAGTTCTTACAGGTTGGAGGTTTCAGTCCATATTCAGCTGGCTCCAAGAGGCAGGGTGACATGACGGATTGCAGTAAACAACAAGCTGAGAACCGGCAAGACAGACAAGCCACATCATTTTCCTTCCATTACACTGTATGTTGGCTCCACCCCTGGGCGGATATAGCACTCACGCCACCAATCCAAACTCTAGACAACGAACCAATCACAAACGCTAGACTCAGCTGCCTTGGTTGTTACTTGAGGCTTGAGGCAGACCACAGGAACTTGAGTGTTAACAGTCTCCTCCCCGCTTAGTGTCTAGTAGTGTTCCTTATCCTCACCATATCCAAATGATGTGTGATAACTCTGGCATGTCTTCAGCAAGAACTGTTAGGCTGGTTTAGCCCGAAAGCTTCTTACTCTTGACACTTTTAGAAAATTACTGAGTAAATAACAGAAAATTACTGAGACTAGTAACCGCTAAATTATTAAACAGAGACCACACGCGCGTGCACGCACACACACACACACACACACACACACACAACTTTGCTTTTTAGCAATATATTCACACTTGTCCATATTGTATTCAGAGTTGAATCTAGTCTTCTCCAAACTAAAATTCACTTACCACGGTTGCTCGTTATTATAACTATTCTGATTGCTCTGAATAAATGCATTATCTTGCAGGTGTCATCCAAGAACTTTTTTCTGTAGCCCACAGGGCGTAACACCAATTTCATCATAAAGGCACATTACTGTAGGTGTAAAACATTCATGTATATTCTTTAGAATATTTCTATTGATGAATTATTCATTTTAATTTTAATTTTATGAGTTATATTAAACAATGAGTACTTAACAGGAAAAACATCAAAAAAGTTGAATTTTATATATTTGTCAAATATTAGATATGCTTATAAAAAAGCATCAAGATTTTCAACATTGACTTTTTTGGTGAACAAAGTCTAAAGAATAACAAATTTCTATATGAACTACATTGAAAATACCAATAGAACTCGATAAAAAAAATAACCTTTACATCAATTTTCACATCTAAAGCTTCACACATGACAACAGCATCTTACATATACACTTATCACATAAACTGGCAGCATATGTCTTTTGCTTTCCTGGCCTTTTTGTACTTGACATCTCGCTGGTCTTGCGGTTTTGTCAAATAAGAATCTTATTTTACAACGTGTAGGAACATAAAATATCAATAAAACAAAGTATTAAATTCTTCGTATGACACATTTAGAATAAACATCAACATTTTCACAACAGCTGTTTACTTTCTTACAAAACCTAAAAGACAACATCAGAAATAAATTCCTATATGAACCACAATAAAAATACCAATATAACAAAAAAATCTCTGCTTCAGTTGCACCCCTAAGACAGTCTTCATACATGACAACTGCATTCTATATACATGTCTCACTCATACTATTAGCACATGTGCGTATTTACCTCTCCTTTCCTATGTGGCAAGCCATTCTTGTCAACTCTCTTGTCTTCTTGTCCATTTAGGATCTTCCTACTATATTGTATAATATGCACTTAGGAGGAAAATAAGATATCAGTAAAATAAAGTATCAGTTATGTAATGAGTGCTTAAACATCAACATTTTCACATCAGCTGTTTACTTGCTTATGAAACCTAAAAGATAACATCAAAAATAAAACCTATGTGAACTACAATGTAAATACAAACGAAAGTCTGCCACAGAAATATTTGTTGCTTCAATTGTCGTACCCAAGGCAGTCTTCACACATGAGAACTTCTTGTTTCATGCACAAGTATTACTTCCACTGGTAGCATGTATGGTTTGTGTTCCTGTCCTTTGCTGCAGGGCATACCCGACATATTTTGGTTTTCCTATTGTCGTAGTCTTTGTGATGCTGCACCTACCTGTTCACCTATCCCCTCACCAGTGCTTTCCACATTTTTTTTGCATAGTTACCTGAGCAGAAACATTTTGTTTTTCCTCTACTGCAAATGATCTCTTATGAGTCATAATTTTCTAAGAATTTTCTAATTATCAGTCATAATTTTCTAAGAAGATTTCTCTGTGATATTTTGCACTTATTATTTTCCTTGTAAACAATCAAATCATACTCCATATGTTTCACATTTAGTAAAACACAACCTTTGGCCAACACTTTGCATTTCAAATGACACTAGAATTGCTGCGTAACTCATCCAACATATGTCTGCTTTTGGTTTTGTTGTAGAAAGCTGCCATCTCATGTTTCTGTTTTGTTGAGGTTTCCTTGTCAATATTTCCATCATGGTGTGATGTTGACATCAGCAGTACCTGTTTGTTTTTCTTTGCCATGTACGAGGTCAATGTTGTATCTTTCTGAAATCCTTACTTCAAGAAAATAGTATATTTGTTGAAACATATCACCTACCTATAGTAAAATGTATTAAATAACCACCCATGATTATTAGCTAAGCATTCCAATTGCTTTTATACAATAAAAATAAAAAAGAAATTTTGCACTTGGGCTATATTTCAATTTATAAATCATTTTTTAGATCTTTATAGAGTATAAAACTTAGAAAAAAATCTTAATATTCCTATTCCTATTAAATTTAAGTGACTCAAACTAAAAAAAATGCTAAGCTAAGCACTATCATCACTTAAAAATTTTTAAGTTTGTGAAAGTTTTATTTTTCTCTTCAGTACAAAAATGATTGGCTCACACTATTGCCTGCCCAAAACTAAAAATCTGAATTTTCTTTGTTAAAGTCTAGATCACATGAAATGCTTTTATACTCTTATTTTAAAACAAGATCCTGGCATGCATAAGAAATCTAAATCAAGATTCACAAATGATGACTGAAATCCTGTCAACTTGCAGCCTAATACAACATAAATGCACAGTTGTCATCCACAGACAATTCAAAACTGAAGTTTATAATGGAAATGTCCACAAGTCATAACTGCTGCACATCCCTGCTGCTGGCTAAGCTCCACTGTATGTAACCAGACAGACTGCTTAGAAAATTAGAACTGTCAGAGCCACAAACCAGGAATACAGAGCTATGAACACAGCAATGCCAAAGCATTAGGGCTATTTTTAAAAAATTGAATAAGATGTAGTGTAAACACATCTGATAGCTCTATCTCTAAACCACTTTCCACTGATTTATAAGTCTATAGTTTTATAATTCTTTTTAAAAGGAAAATTTTTCTACATTGCCACATGCATTATTTTCACTGTACTTACTTGACTACAATGCAATCTTAAAATACTCTTGCAGAGGCTGACATGTCTCGTCAGAATTCCTCCAGAAGGTCTTTCCTCATATTCTCAGTAGTCTTTAGTGCTGCTGTAGTAAGTAGCCTGCTGATGCTCCTTAATAACAGATGATAACGCTTCTGGGTTACAAAGCCTTGTTCACAAAGTCTGAGTTTCCATATCTAAACAGTTTCCATAGCTAAGCAATATTCAAAATTTTTGAAATCTCAGGTGGAGCATCTATGGTCCCCCTCACCACATTGAGGTTCATGGTTGCGGCTCCCACTGTCACCCAGCACTACCAAGAGAGGCTGAAGATGGGCCCTACATGGAACAGGAGTGCCATCCTTTATCCTGGGCAATCCCACCTTAGTGATAGGATTTTATGTTTGAGTTTTCCATGCTCTGAATGAATACATATAAATAAAATAAGTTAGTAAATGATCTTTATTGCTGCAGAACTAGTAGTCTTTGAGTGGTAAAACATTTGCTTTAACTATTGCCTTACGCAAACTGGAAAGTAGAATACAGGCCACTAAGTCTGCTGAGATCTGAGAAAGAGTAGAATATCAGAAGAACATGTTGATTGGTACTGGCTACATCTAATTAAGCACAACTTATTAACTGGGTGTGGTATCTCATGCCTGCAATCCTAGCAGTCTGGGATGGGTGAGGCAGGGTGACTGCAGCTTCCAGCCCAATCTAAGTGATTTAGCAATTTGGCAAAACCTTCACTCATTACATACATACATGCATACATACATGCATACATATAAAAGGGCTCGGGATGTAGCTCAGGGCA